ATGATGACAGTCCAGTAAAAGGAAATCTGCACTTTTGCTGGACTGCCATCAATTTTTCATCATTTTTCCATGATTGCCCAAAACTTTTGCAATATGTATGAGAAAATGATGAAAAATGACGAAAAATGATGACAATCCAGCAAAAGTGCAGATTTCCGTTTGCTGGACGGTCATCATTTTTTCATCATTTTCCATGATTTCCCATCATTTTTGCAATATTTATGAGAAAAGGATGGAAAATTATGACTCCAAATGATACCAACGCGATGAATACATGGTGAAAAACTTATAGGCTGATTTCCAATCCGTGCAGGCCAGAAAATCTCTTAAAGTTAGCCCCTGCGGAAGAAGGAAGGGAAGGAAGGAAGCGGTAGCACACACACACACACACACTCACTCTGATGGATTTCGGCAAAGAGAAGAGGTCGAGACAGCAAAGTGGGGTAGGGCAGAAATCGTTACTGCGCATGCCCTCATGTCGGAGACTCATCCCGACAGCGTATTGGCAATAATTGCCCATAGTAGTTCCGGATAGCCGGTATAGACTAGGTGCCCAGGAATCCAGGAAGTATCAGCCCAACAGCTCGAGTAATCTGGCTCCTGGCCAGCTACCCCGCAAGCACTGGAATAGGAGTGACCTTGTTCCCATGTGCTAGGGAAGTTCACAAACGCACATCGGCTGCGGATAAGGGCTCACGCACAGCACTCGAGGAAAGCACTGTGGAGCTGAGGTCCCACTGGGATCCATGCAGCAGCGAGTTCCCGACCTGCGAGCCCATCGTGGAGGGGCCCTGCAAATTCCACGAGAACATCCTGCAGCCCTGCCTGACTGAGTCGTGGTTTGACGGAGGACTTCTCCTTGCACGTCCTTGCACTCTAAACCAAGGTCCCAAAATTGCACCACTCAGTTCGAGTGGTTCAAGGCCGAGCTGGCAAAGGCCTGGCGGCGCAGTGGCGTAAGGCCACACATTGCACTCCTCCGTTTTGAACGTGTCAGGTGCCAGCGAGTGACTGGCTTATTGTGGTTGGACACCACCCGGCTGATGAAATGGATGTGGAGGATTTTGTGGCGCCGATGTGCCATGGTTGAAGCAGGAGTTGCTTTTTTTGAATTTTCGGCAAGGGCATTGCAATACATGATCTCAGCAAGCTGAGTTGGACAGCTGGATACCGTTTGAATTTGCTGTGGCTGTCGCAGGGTGCAGCATGGCTTCGATCTCTATTTGAATGGTCACACTCACCTACTGTCTCTCGGCTCATCCTAAGCTAGCAAATTCCCCGCTGGGTCGTGACTATCTATATGCAATCGTGCTACTGTATGTATAGTGCTGGTGTCACCCTCTGAGGAACCACTACACCATCAATGGAGGTGGCGCTTACGTCACAAGCGGTGCTGGTGCGATGGTTCGCACTAAGGACTGAAGGTTCGAGATAACTCGCGGGAGCTATCGAGCTGCAGTTCTGCCTAACCTCTCAGACCTCCCTGAAGCTTAAAATTGATGCCTGTCTGGCTTATCGGAGCTAGCCTGTCGCGGAGGATGACGCTTTTCGCGAGTCCAGAAGCATATATGTTCCACTGAGTTTTTCCAGAGCTGCCTAAAACCAGCAGACAAAGCAACCTGTGCTCAGTTGGCGGGATGGCAGGCGAGGGAAGGAGCGGGGCAAGAAGCAGTACCGAGGGGCTTACCTGTGCCCTCGGCAGAACAAGCCGCGGTCGGCAGATCTCAAGCACGTGCCCTCATGAATTGGAGTTGCAAGGCCAAGAAGGCACTTGGATTTTCTCCGACATTGACAGGATCAGGATGACGAGGAGTCCCACCTGGTCACCGGAAAGGGCTCGAAAAAGGCAGGGGCCCGATTGTGAAATATTATGAACAGGTGCGGGGTGCTTTGCGTAGCCGTGTAGCAAGACCCGGACATGTCCGAGGTTCAACTCGTGTGGGAGGAGAAGGTCGCAGGCTTCACGTTGCACACCTTCTCGTCCGACTTCAAGGCGCGGCTGGGCACCCCTAGCAGTCGCAGATTCAACTTGTGTATGCAGGGACGGTGATGGTTTTGAATGCCACCAAAGCAGCGCCAAAGGACTTGAAGACCGACTACATTTCTTATACCGGGGACATCCTGCATTCCTTCAACGTGACGCGTGGATCCGGGCCGGGGTGTCAAGCGAGATGAAACCGCAAAGGGAGCCATCACGGCATGGTTTAGATGCGAGATTCTCATGATCCCGCTGGCCTTCGGACCAACGGAAGGCCGCCGCCATCGCCACCTTCACCACCGTCGCAAGGCCGTAGAACCCACAGCTTTCGGAGCCATGAGCATCCTGATGCAGGCTCCTGTTCGAAGTATGGCTGCGGAAGGCTTCGGGAGACCAACGGCCTTGAAATGCAGTTTACTTGCCAGTGGGCTACCTGACGAGGTACGATCCCAGCCACACTTGCCAGTGCAACTCCTTTTGCAAGGAGTCACCACTTCATGCATGCGAGAGGATTGGAAATCTCCTGCGACAAACTGACCTGCCGACCAGGAGCACGCAGATTGCTGCTCTGACTATTCGAAGTCTTGTGCTGGGCCATCCAGAGGCTCATGCAAGGAGTTTGGCTGTGGCAGGCGGGAAATTAGCAGAGAAGGAGTGAGTGCGAGCCCCATGCCGAACGCCGTTTCATCATGTTCGCGCTCGCTTTGCATTGAACAGGTTCAACCCCAAGCAGAGCTGCCAGTGCAACTCTTACTGCGAGGAGCAAAAGCCCCACCCGACCCAGTCCTGTTGATAGTTCAAGACTACGTGCTTCATAGTCGCTAGGCCCTAGACTTCAGGCCACCTAACGATGTGCGGCATGTTCTGATGCGGGGAGGAGCACAAAGATTGTTGCTCAGACTATCACACCACTTGCGGGGGCGTTGAGACGGTCATCTGAGCTGGGAAGCGTAACGTAGGCGGACTCGGGGACACCTTCGGGGTGTGATGGGCCTGTGCCCACAGCCTGGGAAATCCTGCCGCTGAAGCCTCATACCCTGCTTCGCGAGCTGTAGCCTTTTCCCAGACTGCTGCACCGCCTAGTCTTGATGGTGCATTTGCACGGGTAGTTTACTTAGAGTCTTTAGACTCTCTTGGGCAGAGTGGCATTGCAGCAAGCAAGCTGCAAATAGTGCAGACTCTGAACAAGATCTCGGCGGGCTGCGCTTGAATGGATGCTGCCCGTCATGTTGTTTACTGTCACGCCCTTTTTCTCTAGAAGCATGAGTAGCTTTGCATCCAATCATGCGTTGTGCTGGCGACTTTTGGTCGCTTGCCCAAAGCTCTTCCCGAAGCCAGGCGTCCACACAATTAGTGTGCCTGTGTTATGTCGCATCAGATGCAGTTCGCGACCGTAGCGCGGAAAAACTTACAGCCCGGCATTGAGACTTCCAAGGCTAGCTGAAGGGAGGCATCAGACGCGTGAAGTCGCTTGTTGCTCCAGGCATGGGCGCCTATGTCATCGGCCTTGGATGCGGGCGCTGTGCTTTTCTTAGAGAAAGCCACAGGTGGCCTCAAGCCAGACAGTCAGCATGCAAAGCTTGCTCATTGCCTCTTTGTAGTAGAGCTTCACGGCCACCGGTCGTTGTTGTAGAGAGTGGAGTCATCCCAGCCCGTTGAAGGTCATTTCTGGGGCTGTTTGGATGGATGCTGTGAGCTCACGACCATCTTCCTGTGTTTTGTCTGTAAAATCTGCCTTGTGACCATGCCAAGTTGAGCTGCAGCAGGTGGCAGTGGGTGAGGGGCACTTATTGTCTCGTTTGGTTGTGGGCTGTCAGGAACAACCTGTACCTCCTCAATGATGTGGAAATAGATGGGCGCAGGCTGAAGGACTCGAGTGTAGAAAGTGCTCGCAGGGCGGACCTGTCAAACCCCTTGCAGCAGCCTCATGGTCGTAACGACGATGTAGCAACCGTTTGAAAGCTTGCTTGCAGCTGCTGCTTGCCGGACTCGGACTACCTCAAGTTTGCTGCCTAAAGGTGTACACCAGCCTCCCAAGTGATGCGCGCGCAGGAGTTCTTTCCACGATGGGTTGTTGCTGCCAACGGGGTCATCCTTTGGGTGGGCTTCATTGCCTTCAGGCGCATGCTTTGACAGCAACGGCCGAGACTTTGAAACCCACGCAGAGGTCTTGACTAGGTCGACCTACATAGGCGTAGATAGAGTGCACGGCGAGTTTGGCTGCATTGCTGTGTATAGCCGGCAGCCAGGCAACTTCAGACTTGATAAATTAAGCTTTCCCAGTGACCAACTGCAGGCTCGCCCTTTTCCCGACGTGGTTCGCAGCTCAGCACATGATCGTGGTCCATTGCCAATGGTCCGAGAGTGCCAGGGGCTGCGCATATTTGGAACGAGCACAGGGGAGCACAGACACTCGGCAGACTCGGCAAGCGGATGATTGGCAGACACTGACTTGGGCCAAGCGACAATCCTCGAAGCGGGTGCTCGGGTAGGGAAAGAAAGAACAAAGAGGGCCATGGACTGCACTGTGTGCAGCATCACAGTGGCCAGATTTCCGTGACTCGCGGCTAAGGTTGTACCTGTTCTACAAGGATATGAGAGAAGCTCCGTCCAAGAGCTCGGCCGTCATTACAGATTTAGAAAGCATCGCGGCCGCCATCAGAAGAAGCGCTTTCTGGGCCGTTCAAGAAGTGGCAAAATGCTTGGCAATGGTGCTGCACTCGAGAGAAGTGTCCTACTACTCCATGTTCCTTGTGCTCGTGTCCCGTGTTGTGATTACCGACCTATCTGCATTTTCCCGCCTCTTCCGCATTCACGAACTGATCCCAGGGTATCTTTACCCCGGTGTCAACCTGGTGTTGCTGCTGCTGTCGATCGCTTGGCCGGAACCTTGGTAATCATCAAGGCCACATAGAATCAGGATGAACCATGGGATGTGCAGCTGCAGCACAGCTGACACGCCTCGCCTAGGTTTGTGCCTCTCACCCGCGGAATGGTGAAATCTGTCAAGGCCATATGTAGGGCCTTGTGCTCACCTGAAGCAGTTGACAGTCGAAAGCTTGCGGTTCAACCGGTCTCTCCTGAGGGTGTCTTATTGTGTTTATTCAATTGTGTGCACAACAAGCGAACAAGCAACATCACGCACACACACAAAGTCACCAAAGCGTCTGTCGCAAAAGCTCGAAGGACCCAAGCCCGTCCTGCAGTGTCACTGAAGCCCGGTGAAGCCCTTGAAGCTTGCAGCTCAGTGACAGGCGGTGGGCAAGGTGGAAGCCACTTGGCTGAAGTAAGCAGCTACTGGCGATATCTAAGTGTAACTAGCTTGCATATCTCTCAATTGTTCTTGTATCCGTAAGAATCGAAGCTGATCGGAATCTGAAGTTCGCTTGTTACACCCACTGCTTCTTTGGAAGGCAAAGGCTGCCAAGCAGAACTAGCTGTCAAGCTCCTTGGCGTGCATGCTCGAGTTCTGGAACTCTACTCTTTGTGCATCGGGCTCCGGGGGCTACCTGCAGCTGCTAGAGTTGTGCTAACCTCGTTCTTCAGACTTGACGACCAAAAGAGGTGTCTAGAAGTGCGCTTTCACTTGAGGGCACTAAACAGCGAGGACCATCGTTCGCGAACTTCACGAGGAACGACGTGGGCCGATTGATCACTGACAGGGCTGTGCATCATAGTCTCACCTGTGCAGTTTACACACACTCGTGATGACAAGGATGTTGCTGATTGACGCTTTGTCCAGGCCTAGTCTAGCAACTGCAGCCGGCTGTAACTAGGGTGTTCAAGATCGGGGTAGATGATGATAGATGCAAAAGTGTTGGGCAAGTCGGCGATCACGAATCGGAATTTCTCAGGAAACAGGTCGTCCTGGCTCCCTCCTTGTTGTCCTTCTCCGTCCCCAAACACTCTTCTAGGCCCCTAGGCATTGGCCCCGTGAACCCTCCCAGCTCGCCCACTTTGAGGATGTTGTCAGGGCCCGTAAACTCAACTCACGCATCCCTACCCCTTGATCCTGATCCGACGATGTACCGTAAAGCACGAGCCTGCCTTCCGCCTTCACATGTGTGATCATTCGACCCGTTCCGCAACTGTGAAAACCTTTACACCCCTGGAGTTTTTGCTGACGAAGAACGCTGCATTAGGACGGGCTGCCGCGGTGATGTTGCTACAGAAGCGTCAAACAGTTGTCCGGCTTGGGCAGACCAGCGTAATGTGCCCTTTCGTGCCACACGATGTCCAAACCGACCGAGCAATCCTTGTGACTGATTCTACCTGGCACTATTTCAGTGGCCGTTTGTGCCTCAACGCCCGAGCTGGCGGCGAGAAGCGCGTCAGCTTGAACCAAAGGCTGCTGCTTCTGTTTTGAAGGCTTACAGTGTTCATGCATAGTACGGCGTTTATGAACAAGTGTTAGTGGAAGCTTTTCACGCTGTGCACAGATTCGCCTGGTTGAGGAGAACGTGCAATACAGCAAGCATGGTTCGAAGCTTGCGTTTTCAAAATCTCAGCTCCCTCAGGCTGTCTTCCTGTCAGACTTTTCCATCCCCAGTCTCCTGGGTTTCAAGCCTTCGTCTGGCTACGTACCTGAAGGCTACTTTCAACGCTTGCTCGAGCAGCCGGTGCAGCGCTGCTTTTAATCGCATTCGCCACCTGGAAAAAGCTCGCACCTCGGAACCCTGTCTGTATGGCCTCGCCTAGTGGTAGAAAGCTGGCCTGGCATACCCTGCCTCAAAGCATCTGCCTGCAGAAAGCGACTGAATTTCGGCATCAGCTCGAGTCCCTGCCAGGTCTTCTGTCAGCAGTGACGACTTGAGGGCTGCGGCCTTGGCAGCTTCTACCAAGCAACGACATTGTCGTCATTACGACATGCAGACCGACAGATGATGCATCCATTCAGCGCGCGTTGACTGTATCAGGTGCATGATCGGAGCAATCCCTTCAGTGCGCTGCAGGATTTCAAGGTGCGAAGTGCGAATGTCAGTTTTGCAGCTGCTCCTTCACTGCTTCGTAGCCTGAAGGAGGGAGAGGAGGCCGCCTGCTTTTCTTCAACGGAAAATCTTAGGCCGTACGGAAAATCTTGGGCATTCTGGGGCCGGGAAGCTTTGCATGTCACGGCGCGATGGCTGCAGTGCGTAGATTTCACCACGAATCTGCCGAATTGGAGTAGTGCGCGCGCTGCAGGCTCCGAGCACAGGCTGGGACTGCTTTGCTTTCCCATGTCCACGTCAGCTTCAGATTTCGGGGATTGGATGTTCAGGGGTGGAGTTGGCATACTGTTTGTGGCATTTTGTGGCAATGTGTAAGTGCACGTGCCCTGTCTCTGTGTGTGTGTGTGTGTCTGTGTGTGTTTGTGCGCGCGGACTTCCTTAGCACACAGGGAAAGAGGGTCACTCCTACTCTGCAGGGGGACACAGCATGTCACTGGGACTGTGTCCAACGAAGCTACCAGTGACATGGGAAGACAGGCCTCGTGTGTGTAATGTGTGTGAACGGTCCTCGATCATGGGCTAAGGGAGCTCACTCTCCATTTGTTGTGGAATCGATAAACATTAGGACATCGGTTGGTGTCAGTGCCAGACAGTCTGATTTTAGCAGGGGCGTGCAGCACCTGTGGCATACTGCACGCAACGAAGCCATTGCCAAAGGTGGGAAGGGATCAAGGACGCTTGACCCTGTACCTGCAACAAAGTTTGTGACATCCTACTCTTACAAGCTGCACGTGGTGCCATCCTATGCTATCGTCGCTGTACAAACATAGTCTCTGCAGCCAGTTCGCGCCGGCCTCAGACCTGCGAGCAACATGTCCGTGCCAGTGACATGCAGCCTGAAGCAATTTCACGTACGGTTGTCGCAAAGTGAGCAGCTTTGAACAGCCATCCAACACCAAAGCATCTCATCTAGGATTTATCCAACCGAGAGGGCACCCTCCACTTTATCTCCCTGTGTGTGTGTGTTTTCTGTCTGTCTGTCTGTCTGTCTGTCTGCCTGTCTGTCTGTCTGTCTGTCTGTCTGTCTGTCTGTGTCTGTGTGTGGAAGCGAACAGCAGCTGTCGAGGCAGTGTGCCCGCAAAGCCTCGCTTGAAAGACCGTTGCAAGTGGACAGCTGCTCGTCTTGAAGTGCTGTAAATGCCCAAAGCTACCAAAAGATTCGTGACTTCTGGAGTTGGACATTCCACCGAGTGCGACAATTGCGCGCAGAAAGATGGTTGGAATCGCCCGGGAAACAGATAGGCAAACCTTTGAAAAAGATCCGTCCCATAGCTCGCGCACTTCGGAGCTTGATGTCCTGGCTTTAGCTGCATTGGCGGACAGAGGTCAAAAGCTACAAAAACGGCACGGAGACTACGTGGGACGTGCTTGAGTCGCCACTTGCTTGCACCATGGGGGTCATGTTCGCAGATTCCACGAAGGAACGGGCTCGTTGGAAGGACCATTGCCAAGATGCTGACAAGGTATCTAAACATGAAGGTGGCAAAGACGGAAGTGAGCTGCAACTGGTGCTCACCGGCCCACTCCGCAGTCTGACTCACCAAGGGATGGACATCTCCGCAGCATGCGCATCGTTGGCAAGGAGACCGCTGTGCAGTGCAGAGCATGCAGAGCAAGCAGTGCACGCATGCACGAAGCGATGCCAGCATGCAAAAGAACTTGACCATTCTCGTCTCATGTCCGGTACATGAGTCCTTCTGTCAATCACCCCCCCCCCCCAAAGTTCGTTAAGCTGGGAACGAAGACGAAGGTCAAGTCCCTGATGGAGCGTCGAGCGTCGGGCATGTCTTTGTATGGACGGGAAACCGAACAGAACCACGCTCCCTCTGTCAATTTCCGTGATTGCGTCTCTCCGCATGTTTGTCGATTTGTGTGGCTTGGTCTGCCTCTCTATATTTCTCGTTGTGCTCCTTTCCGTTTCTCTGTGGGCCTCCGTGTCATGCCTGGATGCTACTTATGTGTCGTCACTTGAGTTGCGAGTTGTTACACTACTATGTTGACAGCAATGCAGCGCAACGCGAACACAGGTTTTCAATCAAGGGCCCACGTGCAGCTAGGATTAGTCACTTCAGGAGCCCGTGCTGCCGGCTCAGGCGAGAAGACGGATCCACTGGTGCAGTTTGAAGCGGTGCGGCTGCACTCGTGTTTCGGTTGCTGCTCAGAGCATGCGATTGTTGGGGCAGACCCCTCCTGCACCCCAGCTAATCCCAACGGGTCTGATCGTGCTCCAAGATGTCGGTAAAGCACAACACACAGTCAGCGAAACTGGGACATGTTTCATAAGACAGAAGGAAGGTTGCAGGTGCAATGGGCGTGTGCGGTGGAAAGTCAGCCAAGCGACAGCAAAGCCGAGAGCTCCGCTTTCACGACGGGTTCCAGTACAGCCCCCTTGAATCTAATGATTTTGGGCCGCTGTCCGCCGACAAGGACACATTGGACATTGTCCAGTTTGCGGCCCCGATCTTTGTTGCCGAGGAAGGTGAAGGATTCAGTGTCAAGCTAATGCGGTTGGGTTCGCTTGCTGGTACCGTCAGCTGCTTTTTCCAGACGGAATCAGGCTCTGGCAAAGCAGGAAAACGCTTTGTCCACACAGAGGGGGAGGTCGTGTTCGCTGACGGCCAATTCGAGCAGAGCATTGACATTGAGATTCTTGATTCGCCAACGTGGTCAGCAACCCTGGAGTTCAAGATGGTACTGAGCAATCCCAATGGGTGTACATTAGGGAAGTACTTGAAGGTTTGCCGCATTAAGGTCCTGGACGGAAACCCTTTTCCCAACGAGGACTACGCAGAGCCTTTGAAAGCAGGCCCTGAGGCGATCGAGGACATCAACCCACTACCTCTCTTCCTCGACTTTTGCAGGCTGATGCTGAAAATACCTGGGAACTCGTCACGATTTGCGGTGACCTTGCTCTGTGACCAGCTCAAGAATGCTTATGTTTGGTTTCAGCTCAAGGCTTCCGTCTACATGGTCAATGTGATCTTTGGTGGAGCAGATGCGGCAGACCAACTATTCATTCGGGGGGATGCCGTGACCACCGCCAAGTTGCTCGGCTTGTTGTACATCGGACTCCCGCTACTCCTGCACCTCTACAAAGAAGCCAAGACACGAATGGACATAGCAGGTCGTTGTGGCTACTACTTGCAGACTAGCTTGATGCGGAAATACATGAACTTCAGCGACGACTCCAGAGCAGCAGTCTCTATAAACGAAGTCCAGAAGATCGTGACGGCAAAAGCCTTGGATGTTTCGAAGAGCCTGGACAACGTTTCGTCCATGCTTGAGACGCTGGGGAGGCTGATCATGTTGAACTACTTCGCACTTTCTAGTGATCCTGGCATGCTGTGGGCTGTGATCACAATGCCTGTGGTTATGACTGTCTGGGTGCTCCTGCGCCAGAGGTGGTTGCAAAAGCCTGAGGAAGACGGCCCCTACAAGAGGGCAGTCATGGAAGTGGTGGGTTCCATCAGCGAGTCTTAGTAGCAGAGTAACAGAGTAAGCAACCTTGAGTCTTTTTTATTGGGGTACTCTCATCCAAAATTTCTGCACAAATCCAAAGGCTAATCCCCAAGCAAGGAATACTACAATTTTTCCTTAGTTCCGCAAAGAGACTGGACAAGAAAGGAGTACTACCCGCTCATCGCCGCCTACTTTCAAAGACCTGCCATGAACGAGAAGTTCGCCGCGCGTGTGACCAAGCTAGCCGACGCGCCTCAGAGCAGCATCTGTCTATCTACTCTATCTAGCTATCTCTCCATCTGTTTATACATGTGTATGCACACATATGCACATACGTATACATATACACATGCATACACATATTTACAGCATAAGTACTACACATACATAGAGTGTTAATGTAGTATAATAGAATACAGAGTAATTTAATACAAGATTCACCCAGAATTCGGGTATAATTGACTTTAATGTTCCTTAACATAATGCAAAATAATTTAACATAGTATAGCATAACATCGCAGAATATAATATCATACGAGCAGGTACTGTAAGATATACTACAGTACAGTATAATGTAAGATAATACAGCATAATGCAAAATAGTATGCTACTATATAATATGACATAATATAGTACACCTTAACATAATATAGTACGATTATACCATAAACTTAATCAACTAAAAGAGATAAAATGAACTACAGTATATATATATTGCAACAGGAAATTATCCCGCAATGTCATATCACTGTTGTCAGGTTATAACGTATCATATTATATCATTGTCTGTCGTAACGGATTATGTCGTATCACATCACATCATTTCGTATCTATGAAAGACAACCTGAAAGATAGATAGATAAACAGATAGGTAGATAGTAGATAGATCGTTAGATAGATAGATAGATAGGTAGGTAGGTAGGTAGGTAGGCAGGTAGGTATAGAGACAGAATTGTAGATAGATAGACAGATAGACAACTCACGTTTTATCTTAAATGTGTCTATGTATATGTATGTATGCAAAGATAGAGGGATGCAGATGTGCTATCTATAGTGTGGGGACGTTGGCAGTGGATATTCGGAGGTGCAAGAACCTTTGGGGATCTACGACATGCGCAGCGAGTTCTTTTTCGCCTGGCTGGGCCCATCCTTCGCCGGTTTCTACCTGTGCTTCTATGCCCAGCAAGTGATTGATGGCGCGCTTTCCCTGGGAGCGTTGTGGACTCAGCCGTTCTAGGTACCGGACATAGAGGGCACACGGCGATTGTGCTCTAACGGGACATCCATAAGTCTTGATACACCAGCGTTAAGAACTCCGAGACTTACCATTAGAATACTGGTTGGAGAAGATGTCAGCAGCGCACCGAGACAAGAGTAGCCGGCCCAGCAGAAGGAAGGTTTGTAGTTCGCCCAGGTTTTTAGCGACGATCAGTGTGTTCAAAGAGGTCGCGTCGAATTTCGCAGATGGATATTCTGTGATGATGAGCGTTATCTCCAAGTTTGAGCCTTTAGTTGACATCACTATTTTTCTGAACCGGCCTACCGACGTCCGAGATTTGAAAGAGTTAGTAAACAGGCGGATCAAGGAGACCAGCGACCAGCGGACTCGGCTGATGCAGCTTGCCATGCCGACCCCTCCCGGCATGGTGCGCACTGATATGATTCCAATTCGCTTGGAAGGCCTGTCATACAAGCCTGGGGCGAGCGGAGAACTTTTTCACAATGTGGATCTATCTGTCGAGCAAGGCAAGCTGGTCGCCTTGCAAGGCGAACATCGATCAGGAAAGACGAAGCTGATCCGACTCATGGCTGGTGGAATAACTCCCACTACTGGCAAAGTGATCATGCCCTCGCATTTGCGCTGCCTGCTGGTTACACACCAGGTCCTGTTGATGGATGCCTCTCCTTTGCAGAACCTGTTCTTCGGTGATCCTCTCGCTGTCGCAAATCCAGAAGAGCGACATCGGGCGTTGTGGATTCTGGATAAGCTCCGGATGATGCGAACCCGAGAGGTTGCTGAACAGGAGATCGAAATTTTGCAGGAGCCTCTCTCGGATGAGGAGCAGGTAGACCCTGGCTGTTGCAGCAAAAGTGGGAAGGTAGAACCGCTACCCGCCCATGCACAATGGTTGCCACCAGATGGTAGCCGGCGAGCGCAAGAACTGCAGTTAGAGTTGCGAGGTTGGCAAGACTCCCTGTCCTTCCAGGAAAAGGCGAAGCTGCACATCGCGCGTGCCCTGATTGTGAATCCCGAAATTCTGATTCTCGAGAAGCCGCTGATGAACTTCGATGAACGAGAGTCTCAGCTGGTGCAAGGCGTCCTCAGGGAGTACGTCTCCAATCGAGGAGTCGCGCTATCCGCTGACTCCCGGGACAGTCGAAGGCCGCGGACTTGCTTCTACACTGCCGAGAGGGAGGATGCCAGCCAGACTGATGTGGTTTGGAAGTGCGGTGCTGGCACCGTGGTTGCCGAGAAACCCTGGGCACAAGCCCAAACACCCAAAAAGGGTGAGAAGCAGATGTCATCGCCGAAGTCTTCGCAATCTGTAAAGACTGACCAGACGTTTTAAAGCTTCACTTGCACGACGGCTAGTGACAGCCTGTCTGCTTGCGTATCATATATTTGTCATAGTCGTAACGTCTCACCCAATAAGACGTGTTGCAACAAGCTGACAAGCCGTGTCGGGCGAGCTACGAGCCATCCTGTAGACCGAAGAAGTGTTTAGTAGCCCCCCAGTCACGATTGCATCGTTCAGATGGAGCCCGGGCACAATGTCGGCACGGGATGCCACAAGGTAGGATGCAAAGATGACAAAGGATGCATCTTTGTCTCGATCTAGAGTACGCGGAGTCCTGCACTTTCCCAGCTGATCAGTCGCGAATCGGCGCTCTGGCAGCTCAAAGCAAGGGACAGCGCAACTTCGATGGAATCATGACGATTGCTTGCTTGTTCGCTGTAAGCTTGTTTTCTGGCAAGTTCGCGGCCTCAATGCAGCAGGAGTGTGCCCCTTCCCGTGCATTCACCACCTGCTGGCCTCAGGCAGAGTGTCCGCGGCGTAAAGGCAAGAAGATCTAAGAAGGGCTGACCTCATGTTCATTGGCAGCAGAGATGCGTTGCTCTCGATGTATCTGTGACGAACTGGAGGAGGCTCTGACAGCAAGGAGGAGCGGGAGAAGCAGCTTTCCTGATCAGCTGAGGTTCAGTCCACATCAGTTCAGTCTCGATGCCAGGGTTTGAGTCCTGACGAGTAGGCGTTGCAGTGCACGAGATGTCCCCAGGCGTGCCGGATTTGTCTTCTTGTGAGTCGTTTTCCAGATGGCTTGCTCAGGTCGGTGACCCTCTCCTACTCCGAAACTGCGGAAGAGGAGACTCCAACTGCCTTTTCGCGCAACCGACGACCTCAGAAATGCATGCATGGCATGACACTTCTGCAAGACCTCCTCTTGAGGAGCAGTCCATCTCCATCATCCGAACTGTGTCAAGCGGGACTGCAGCACGCGAGCAGCTGAGCATAGCTTAGCTTTGATGATCAAAATCGCGCACCGTGCCTATTCATACACTAGCACTCTTGTTCATCTTGAAGCTGCGACAGGTTTGCTGGATGAGTTGGAGGATGAAAGGCCCAGTCTTGAAGCAGTCTTCGCGATCTTAGCAGTCTTAGCATGCCAACTGCCACCGTGAGCTGTCTGTGCGTTGTTTGATGCTTGGGGCATCTTGGGCCCATCCGGTGATGCAGTGCTTCGCCTCGGACCTCGCAGGCGGCGCGGCGACGGAAACGAGGGTCTCGAAGGTTTGGACGAAGGCCGCCAAGACAACTCTCCTCCGCGCTCTCGCTCTTTGTCTCGGTCGTTCTTTCTTACAATCGTCTAGACACTTGTTCTGTTTTCTGCATGATCTTTCAGGAAAGTGCAGGTTGTCGAAACGAGCGTTTTGCTTTGGCACTGGGGACGGGTAAAAGACTGAGTGGGTCGCTATTCAAAGGGGCGAGCGTTTTGACGACCGCAAATGCCATATGTCCTCGCTGCAATGCCCACGAACATCACTTGGATAACTCCGTTCCAACCTGTATGCTACTTCACCTGGCCGACTTGTGGCACATGCCAGGTTCGACGAGCGAACGTAGCACGGTCTCCGAGGCGGAGGTCAGGAACAGAAGCGGCAGCCAGGGGATCCACTGTCCACAATGGCTGGCAAACGGGGTGACACACTGCGGGCGCTAGTCAGCTGGTACCAGAGAGGGAGAGTGCCATGGCGAATCTTTGATCACTGAAATAATTGCATCGTGGTAAGAGTACACGCAAAGTAGACTTTCCGGGAAGAGCTCGGTCAGGTCTTGGGTCATTGAGATTCACTGAGCAGGGCAAGCATTTTCGAACATGATGAGAAACAATCTATTCAACGTTCTTTGCACATTGTGATGCGAGCCAGAATGGGCTTTCTGTGACACACTGATGAACAGATGTTGTGGAGGCGGCTCCGGGCATTGGGGTCCAAGAAGCCGCGAGCGGTGACCAGCGATTCGTGTGTGTGTGTGTGTGTGTATGTGCCAGATGCAAGCCAAGAAAGACAGGAAGTCTAAGACAACCAAGTATGGGAAACTCCCTATCCTGCATGGCACAAAACACTCATGTTAGACTCGCGGTCATTGAGTTGCTGTGTCTGCCGCTTTGTCAGGTATCAGCCAGGCCGACCCGCCCACGGACCAGGAGATGCCCGGGACGATGGATTCTGACTCTCGACCCTCGTGTATGTTCGGGCCTCGAGGGAAGACAAGCCTTTTTCTATTAGCGTTTTGTTTCTTTCGTGGATCAGGAGCAATGTTATGAGTGACATGGCTCTCAGGTGGAGTGGTCCACCGTCGGTTCCGCCCCCGCTGCCGAAACGGTCGAGCCCGGTGCCCCGGAATCAGCCGGGGCTATGTGCGGCGATGACCTTTGCGCCTTGCGAATGTCACGACGAGGTCCTTTGGCTCCCATCGGCACAGCAGTGAGCATCCCGGAGCTTTGGCCAAAGTCTGCCCGGGACATTTGGTGACTGGTTAATCCCGGCTGCTCGCTGCATCGCGTCCTGCCTAATTACCCGGGTTTTTCACCGTCCCGAGACAGAGCGACAGAAACCAGGCTCGTTCCTTGTAAGCCATTCTTAGATTCTAGGTTGCCGACGCGCCCGATGAGTCATCCATGTGGAGGCCAATATTTTTATGTCCAAGAAACCTGGATTTCTTCATGGATTTTTGGTGTTGGTTAGTTTGCTCACATTTTTCTGCTGGTATGTCTGTGCCTGCGCAGCAAAACCTACGGATGCAGTCATCCATGAACCATCAGTTCTTGTGCCGAACACTTTGCTTCAGCAGTAGCAGGGCCACAATGAAAGCTAGGTAAATCGGTACTGTGCAATAATTACCTGGCATACTGTGCGTAGCAGACACGGGCTAGCTTATCCATTTCCTTCGGCTGTCCCATGTGGTGTCGTCTAGCAGTGTGGTCCAGTCCGGAGGGGCAGATAAAGTTGCCAAATGATCCAAGCCAAGCTTGCTCATCGTGCGACTGACACCACAATGCAAGACCCCTTGTTGTGGAGAACAGACTTGCCTTCCTTGACTGCTGTCTTGTTGGACTTGCCTAGATGAGTAAATTTGCGCCCAGTTGCCTCCAAGTCACATATTCAACCTGGGTTTTCAGGCCGCAGACCTTTGAGTCTCCTCTGGTCCAGCGTGGGGGGCCAGGTTCCACGAAGCATGACTTCAGCTCTGCATCGTACAGAGTCGACAGGTCAGTGCTTGAAGTCAAAGGTGCCGCCACTGGCGGCTGCAGTGTGTATCGAACTCCGCAGTGAGCCAAGCTGGACAACTGCTTCTGATCTTTTGCAGATTCGCAGGCAAGCCATGTCGTATTCTGCTACAATATGGTTCTTCCGCATACCTATGTGGGCAGCATGTGACCGTGTAAGTTATGCGCTCCAGTCCTCCTCGCTTCCTCGCTACCTTGCTCGCTCTCGCTCTATCTCTATTTATCTCTCGCTCTTTTGCGTCTTTCTCTCGTTCTGCCTCTGTTTCTTTCTCTCTTTCTCCATCTCTCTCTCTCTCTCTTTCCATCTCTCTGTGTCTCTCTGTCGTTCTTTCGTTCTTTCTTTCTAAGCCCCTCTCAATCGGCAGTGTAAGCATGCCTCCGTGCATTTATACTCATGCACATGTATTCTTATGTGAATAAGGTGGAGAGATAGGGTTACGTGTTCGCCCTGAATCTGCATGCATGTCAACGTGCTTCTGCATGCTCCGCAGATTGTTGTTGATTGACATGTTCATGAATGTCATGCCCACCACTCGCCAACCAGCTCTGTTCAAGAGCAGCTTCCCGACAGCCACTCGCGGCCACGGAGCTGGTCGAGGAACTGCACAGTTGGATTGTGTTCCACATGTACGTACACAGCAACATGACACCTGTGTGTAAACATTTCGTAGGAACCTAAGTATGTACGTGTGTATATGTATGGCTGCATGGCTGCTTGAAATGAAGGCGAAACAGAGAGATCAACAGTGAACAGTGCGTGTGTCACTTGTGCTGGTGTGTCGTCTTGAGGTCTTTGCCCAGTCGTTTGGAGCCTGCTTCACCAGCGTCGTGCCCTCAGACCAGACACTAATAGCAAGGACATACATCTATTCTTCAATTGTTCCCAGGTCTCTCGTTCTGTGTTCCATTTTGTTCTGCTGTTACATTTATGATTATGGTGGGTGGAATTCAGGCTGGGCTTGAGTCAGGTAGGTTACTATTGAAAAGGCTCAGGGGGGGTTCTTTTGAGTTTTTGGTGCTCCCTAGGGCTGTTCTGCCCTTCTCTGGAAAATTGCCTACCGCCCGCCCACCCCCTGGACCGCACAAGGCCTTCCGTTTTGACATCGCCTGGCATCGGGGAGGCTGACACGTCATTGCGCAGACGACCAGAGTCACGGTATGTCACGGTGATTCTGCGAGGCGCTTCCGTACTCCATGGGGCGCCGCAGGCAGCTGCAGAACATGATTTGGGAACGACAAGGGAATCAAGAGTAGCTACATCGGTTGAGCATATGTTATTTATGAGTTTGGTAGAGACAACGAGACGTCGCTGACACTGCTCCTGCAGACGTGCAGGGTTGGCAGTCACGACATGAGCTCTTCCAGCTTGTTCACACGCCAGATGTCGATCGAGCCGTGCCCTTAGTCATCCTGGCGTGAGAGGTGCTCGTAGAGAGGAGTTTAGCAATCTTGGGTGCAGAAGCTGCGCACCACCCCGAGGTCTTACTCAACCGAAAGGGAGCCCAGCTCATCAGCCACCCCCGCAGTGCAGAGCTCAGTCTTTTCTGAATGCCGCTGCAACTGCGTGCGCGTGTTGCTATCTCTGGCAAGTGCCAGTCAGCACTACTATTGTCGACAAGCAGCCGAATAAAGGGCGCAAGCTTGTGGAAAGTATGGCTCCTTGTGATGGCGGTCAGACTCTCCTTGGAGAAGAACGCAACTCTGGAGGAAGGAGTGCTTTAGAATTCTTCCAAGTTACTAGACAAGTTGCAGATGCAGCAAGTTGCCAGAAAACCCTGGAGGCGCTCTTCCCGAGCACGCCGGACTTCTGCCCAAGCCCTGCAGCCGGGGCCTCCAGGGATCGTTGGAGAAGGGCGTAGGCTGAGATCTTCGTTGTCTGAGTGCGAATGCCATTGAGGGAAGCTTCATGCTGCCGCCTCTGTCGCTGGGGCCCGCTTCGAACTTCAGCTTAGGGCAGCACGCTCGCTGCTGGAGGTGCACGTAGTTCGATTTCAACTGGGTAAATTGGCATCACGCCCATTCCATGCCTTACCAGCTGCAGTTGCAGTCATGCTTCCTGCATCCTGCTGGGTTGCGTGTAGCATGCCAGGCAGCCAGTGCCTCCCGCGAGTTACCCTGCCTTCGCCCCAAGTTTCAAAGTCTCCAAGTCGTCCAGCGAGACCCGAGCACTGCTGTTCCTGAATTTCAGTTTGCCGGGCAAGTTGTAGTACCCAATCACGAACTCAAGTCAACTATTGTCAACCCGTCGCAGCACCAACCCAACGCTGGAGCAGAGTCTCTGGACGGGAGAGAGTCAGGTTGCTTGCTTCGAGTTGGGAGACGTTTGATCTCAACTGCCGACCTCGGCTCAAAGTAGGTAGGGCTGCGAGACCCGCTCCCGGCACCGGTGCTGCTCTAAGCTTTTTTGGAGTTTTCGAGTTCCCCGAACTCTGCTTCTGTTGCAGAAGTTTCGGCACTGTGGGGATCCATGGGTATGTATTCAATGTTAATGCTGGTTTGCTCTGTGGCGACTTCGCCGATGTTTGTCTGGGTGTGCAACCAATGATTCAATGGGTGCAGGATCATCCCTGTCCCGACACCCTCCAACCGGCTCTCATGTACTTGTAAACTGTACTTTCGAGTCACGTGTGGGCAATATCCTGGCCAGCTGGGCGAGCTGCCATTCATGTGAGCACGTCGCACAGTTCAAATCCTGCTTCTACCCAACACTTGCCCCAAATTCACAATGTCCAACTACGCAGCAATTGCTGTGTCGACGCAGAGGCCTTGCGAGCAGAAGTCTCGCCCCTCTGTCCCGGCCGCTTCGCAACATTGAGCAGAGTCTTTTGTTTGTCGTGTGGCCTTTGAACAACATGATTCAGGACTTAGGTTTCGACATCAAGGTTGGCTTGCCCCGAAGCATACAACTTGAGCTTTTGCGGGCCGGCCAGTGTCGGGTGACAATTCGTGCTTCTGTGCAAAATAGGTTCGAAGCAGATTGGATAGCGTCCCAGCAATCAAGAGAACGTACGAGTTTGGGCGTTATGCAGCAGCAGCACACATCTCGCACCAGATGTCACCACAGTCGCTGCCACGCTCGTGTGGCCATGGTTGATATCCGCTTCGTCAGATGGTCTTGCATAAAAGGTCAGTTCTTTCTATTTCCCTGTAACGCATCATTGTGATTTGCGAGTGTGTGTGTGTGTGACCATACCTTGCTGTCGTGACTCAGGCGCCGGCATGATGCGGGTACAAGTCAAAGAGGGGGAGATGACGAAGACCATCTACACGCACATCATGGAGCAAAAGTATGACAAGGCCGTGAAGATTCTCAACCAGCAGCTTCAGTTCTTCCCGGAGAGCCGCTGTGCTTTGTTGCTTGGCCTCTCGCTGGTTTGTGGCCTTGTGGCGGCGTCGCGGCGTGAGCCTATGAGACTGGCTAGCTGAAGCTGAGGTCATTGCTCGGATACTGCTACTACCACATGCAAGACTTTGCCAGTGCTGCAGACATCTACGGTCAGCTCCCAGTCTTGACTCGTCTTGACCGTCTCTTCTGTGGTCCCAACCTAACATGGCCTGTGTTTGGCCGGAAGCTGAGGCTTGTGCAAGTCGTTCCGGAGATCGACGAGTACAAGATTTACCATGTGCCTCCGAAGACAAAGGGATCAGGGGCAGAAAAGCGGCGCGGGCCATCTTTCCAGCCCACGACCTTTAGGAGCAGTCGAGGTCCAGAGCCTGATCAAGGCAGGCTTGTACGAGGAGGCCAGCCAGGCGTGTACTTCCGTGGAGTCGCCGGAGTACACAGCAACCGAGCTGAAAGCAGAAGTATGATTGCCCAGCGAGATGAAGGGGACTGGTTTTTAGGGAATTGCTTGCTGGGCTGAGGGTCAACTGGCTCTCGTATCTAAGGAGCGGGTTCTGATGCTACAGGCCACGATCTCCTACGAACAGGCTGCTGCGCTTTTCTCCCTCTGGTTGTAAGACTTAGTCCGAGTGAACACCCGAAGGAAGAGACGCAATTGGCTCGCAGCATCCTGGATCAATGCCATCCAGACTCTGAGGAGGGGCTTCGACTACTGGGAGTTTTCCTTACGCTGCCATCCTGCATACGGTGCATGCACCGCCGAGCGACGGCTCTGCCAGGAGAGGCAGGTCTTTGAGGGAGCACTGCTTTGGAAAGAGAAGCGGTGCCCGAGCCAAAACTTATCATCTCTGCGTGGTAGAGCCTGGACAACTAGTTGCGGAAAACCATTCCGTACAAATATGCAGCGCACCAGGAGTGCCACACCTGCCTTTTCAGCGTCTCGTGCACCGCTTTTGAAATTTTGCTTTGGAAAGACCCAGCAGGTACGCAGAAGCTATGAAGCTGTTCAATGATGCGATAACTAGCACCGGCTACCAGGCTCTCGCAGCAGAGCATTTTTCGTCATTCTTGAGGCCTTTCTCAGCATTGAAGATATTGAAGATCTGCCAGGCAAGCCTTGCATACAACATCGCCCTTTGCTACTATAGCCCGGGGCCCGAATGCACTTCGGGCTGGTGCGAAGAGAAAACCCGCGTGGCAGAGCTCCAAGGCTCCAAGCAGTACGGCCCGGCGCTCAAGCACATCGCCGAGATCATCGAGCGTGGTGTCCGGGATCATCCGGAGCTGTCTGTGGGAGCTTTGCCCCGTTGCAGCAAGAGGATCCAGCAAAGTAGGGAAAAGACTCGACGTGGATTGTAGAGCTTGTGAGGTCAATTTATCTTCTCCGGTCCAAGTCATCGTAGTCACCAGTCACCAATCATGATGCCCAAGTTTTCTGTTTTTGCATCTGCAGCAATGGCATCAGTTTTTTCCCTGACCTGAGGTCAGAAGGCGACCTCAAAGCTCGGAGCCTCGTCTTGTAGCAGAGACGGGGATGGGACCGCCGCAGCCGTCCGGCAGTGTTGAATTGAAGCCCAAGTGCCAAGACAGAGTCTTTCTGCTGCCGTGCTGCCGACTTGAGCAGCCCGCGCAAATGCCAAATTTTGAACTCCTGCGCCCACCCTTGGTCAGGAGTGTCGGGAACACGTCCGTGCTGCGGGAAACGGCCTTGATTGAAGCTTTCAATCTGAAGTCGGCAATAGAGCACGCCTGGCAGAATTCAGTATAGCTGTGACTCCGGACATATCTTTATTTGCAGAGGCGTCTGTCTGGAAAGAAGTTAAGTGTATTGACGTGTGATGAACACATGACAAGCATGACCAATGACAATCACGGCTTCAGTCCTCGTGGCATAGGCAGCATGCATGCTAGGTACATGACAAAGAACATGGAAGCCGCGAAGGACGGTTGTGGTCGATGCAGTGCGGGCAGGGATCAAGGGTTGAAACAAGGGTGGGTCGCTGGTGCAGCGCTCGAAGGACGCGTTAGCTGATATGCCACCTCGCGATGAGTCGGAACTCGACCCGGTCACACTCCACAACCAGGCCCTCATCGTGCGAGACTCAGATTGTAGTCTGTCGGCTGTCGCTGTGCCACTGAGAGATGAGAAGGCTACAGCTGGTGTCTGGGAATCTGGCGAACGAACGCGATCACCTGCCAAGGAGATGGACGAGAAGCCGACCGAAGGCTTCCGCAAGCTTAACTTTCTGCTTAACCAGCAGCCATCGCCACCAGCACTTCGGCGATGTTAGTGCAAGCACCAGAAGTACCGTAGTGTGGGCGAGCAGCGAGCAGAAAGCCTGGACTTGTGCTAGCGCCGATTTGCGGAAGGGCGATGTTCTTCCAACACGTGCTTTTGCGTTGTGCATCTGAGGAGACTTTTGTAAACCTGCTCCTGCTGTATTGCAAGTACAGCTTTCCGGATATCAATATGCCATGACTTGGGTATGCTGTCAACAGTCAAGCTTGCAGCGCACCCTGTGAAAGAACACTGAAGGTTACTATGACCTGGCCGCTGACATTCTGGCAGAGAATGCTGAGCTGACCTACAAGAATATGAAGCCTGAGGATTACGCATCTCAGCTTGAAGGCCTTAGCTGCCTTAGCTGTGAGGCTAGTTGTTTCTGGCGGTGCACACTTGTCGCAACTTCAAACTGCGCTTGCTACTCGGCTTCAAGGAGTTTTTGGATGCGCTGATATTGGGCCAGTCTTCACCTGAAGAAGCGTACCGGCGCTTCGATGAGCTGTCTGCAAAGCACGTGGAGATGTTGCGGAAAGGACTCCCCGGGGATGTAGCAGGCAATGGGCCAAATAGTTTTCAGTATCGATAGTTAGTTTGCACTTCTTGCTCCTCCACACTGCGCCGCAGCTGCCAACATAGCCGAACACAACCCCTTAGACTTAAGGGAGCTACGACCGAAACATACTGAAACCCGAGTTTGGGGTTACCATGCAGACAACACAGGGAGAGAGCTGCAGAGCTCTTTCGATCGATGGGTGTGCATTCTTTCTATAGACGCCGTGTGGTCAGGTTGAGTTTTCTGCTGCCAGGAACTAAAAACATCCAGGACGCGAGAAGGCAGCGGGATCAAACCCAGGCCTGAGCCTCAGACAGTTCGAAGGTTTTGGCTTTTAGTTGACCTTGGTCTATGGGAAGGTCGACTTTCAGCATCGCTCAGCATCTGAAGCCTTGGTTGGCTTGCAGCCTGGGGTTAGGAGCAAGGGGTTAAAGCTGCGAAGCTGCCGTTCAGAGGGACAGATTGCCACCAACGAGTATTGACAGGCTCTCGAACTGCTGCTTAGAGATGATGTTTGTGGACCTGTCTTCGAACAGTTGTGCCTAAATTTCGGTTTTTTGCAGCACCTGAAGTTCAAGACAACACATAATATGAAGCGCAAAGAAAACCCCGACGTTTTGGGAGAAGGCTGTGGCGACAGATAGCCATGCTTTGTTTGTCATGCGATGAGTTTTGCTGACCAGATCGTAGCCAATCTGTGAAGCAAGCCTTTCTGCTTGAGCTCGGGTCGAGGTGAAGAAGTACCTAGCCGAGTTCGATGATGCGCTGGCGAAGTACATACCGGCACATGTGGCTGAATTCCAGTAACCTGTAACGGATCGTTGAACTGCCCAGAGATGAGCACGACATTGTCGAGCTTCCACTGCCGCAATGCCTTACGAAGTTTCCTCCGCACCCATCGACTGAAGATAGAGCGCCAATCAACAGCAAGGGATTTGTCAGCTGAGGTGCTGATGGGCCAGGCCAAGATCTATTGGGAGTTGGAGAATTACTCCATGGTGGAGCCTGGGCCACATCTCCCGGCAAGCACACACTGTTCCAGCCCAGCTCTTGTCATGAACCCCAGAGCATGTTCAGCTCTCAAGCTACGACCACGTACGATCCAGGAGAAAATCTTCCGCCAGTCTGCTGAATTCTGCAGTGAAGATGAGTCCTGGAAGCTGCCCATCGGCTGCACTAGTGTTGCGTGCACTGTTGTTCTCATCGAAACGCAGGGCAGAGACCTTGAGCCAAGGAATGTGGCCCACATCTTCTTCATGCAAGAAAAATTCAAGGAGTGTATCCGCTACTATGAGCCGTTCGTGCGAAAGCACAACGACGACCTGTTGAACGTGACGGCGATCATCCTGGCCAATCTTTGCGTGGCGTATGCTCCTCGCTGTCATCTTTATCGGCTGCACTCAGATCCCCGGTCCCCAGAGACCGCAGGAACGGACGCCCTCCAGGGACTCCAGGGGTCTTCACATGCACTGCCCCATTGGAAGCATAATGAGGTCATGACCTCGGCTAACGAGGAGGCTGAGGAACTGATGAGACTGGTGGAGCGTGAGGACCGGGGTGGGCGGCAGAGCAGGATGCAGACAGCTTGTGTGTCGGGCGGCCCAAGTCAAGTCTTTCGGACCTGCCACAATACTTTCAGATTTGAAGCTACGTGGTGTGGAGGCAGAAGTTTGTCCAGGGAGGTCACACTAGCAAGGCAGCATCACATGTGCTCGGCTTGGTGTTGTTTTTCTGCATCAGGAGGAGAAGGTGAAGGACCCGTCGAAACCGGCAGCTCGACCGAGCATATTTCGTGTCTTTGATGCCCCTTCTGCTCGAGCTTGTCCGGCTTTGTCTCACCAGCCCCGCAGTCGGAAGGGTCTGCTTGTTCTGAGGAGGGCATTGCACGGTTCCACCACGACTGAGTACCTTGTGATTCACTGTATGTGCCATTCAGTCATTGGCTCAGGTCTACCACCTGTGCATTATCAATTTGGTGGATGGCTCAGACAGCACACATCACCGTTAAGCTCGAAACATGAGCTTCAGGTGAGCTGGCCACATTTGCCCCGTGTCCAGGTGATTGGAACGCTCTACTGCACGAAGGGCAACTTTGAGTTCGGTATCAGCCGAATCATCAAGTCCCTGGCACCTTGCCGAGCAGGGAAGCTGCAAAGTAGGCTTTGATGTAGGGGCGAAAAGGTAGCAGTCGGCAGCAGAGCCTTAAGTTGCATGCAGGAGCCATACGACAAAAAGATCGGCGTCGACACATGGCTCCCAAGCTGAGTTAGATTGGCATCAGCATGCCCCCTCGCGCTTTGCATGGATGTTCGGGCGGTTTCTGTATTCCTTTAGCTCAGTGTTGGGTGTTGTACCGTTGATGCTGAACCCCAGGTACTATGCCAAGCGATGTATGCTGGCTCTTGCGGAGACGCTGGCGAAGAACATGGTCGTGTTGGGGGCTGAGAGAACACGCGAGCTGCTCATATGCACAGCTTTGTCTGACGAGGCTCAACGACGAAGTCTTCGACGACATCATAGCCTTCCTAGATTCAGCAGATCAAGTTGGGAAAAACATCGGCACGACCATCAATGTGGTCGAGGCCACAAAAATTCATGCACATTGTCGCAGTGTGGACAGGTGAGGGTTTCAGGGCTTCAGCTTGATCTGCCACGAGTCCTTGGAAGGCTGTTTGAAGCAAATGCTAGGTTCCACGAGCCACTGAGGGGATTACCAGCCACTAGACGATGGCAGACGTGAAACTGGCAGGCCGCCAATGAAGATGCAGCGAGCAAGCGCACGGTTTCGCAAGAAGCACGCATGATCAAGCGTGACTTGGACATGTTCATGCACGTCGTTTTTGGCGGCCACAAGGGCTCACGTGTCTGGGATGCTCGTCCGAGGCTTCTTCCTGAAACTCAGGGACTGATGCTCAAGGTGGTCTCCTCCTCTGAGGGCGGCGATTCGCGAGGCTCCTGATGAAGACGTTTTCAATGGGAGTTTGCCAGTTCTCCTGCCTTGATCGTACATTCTTGTAGAGTTGAAAGCCGCCGCAGCCTTGTTTGCGCGTTTGCGAGCCTCGCAGGGTCACCGCAGACCTCTGAGACTGGGGTATTTCCGGTTTCACCCACAAATACGCAAAGCTAACGAGGAACCGCCACGCACGGTCCAGCAGACGTACAGCTACAGGACTGGCCTTGCAGTATCATCCGCAGCCACGGAAGACAGACAAGAAGATGTTTCACCACAGCTACGGGTATGTGCAGTCCCCGGGAGATGGGCCACGACTTTGACAGGCACAACCCACGACGAGCTGCCAGACAATCGGCATGCATAAAGGCTACTTCAAGAAAGTATAGCTAACTATCGTTCCAAGAAATGCACTGCATGAAATGGTCGACAGTTCACGCGCGGGAGGAAAAACTATCATCTTGGATTTTCCAGTCTCCCGGAGCCCGTTCCACCACACCGTTCATGGTGCTGTGTGGGAGTGATCTCCAAGCACTTCGAGGGCATAAAGCAAGAGAGTCCACTCCCACTCACCCCAGAACAGCTGGGCCATGAAATTATTCGAAGGGAGCCGGGACAATTAATCCTACTTTGCTGATCCAGTGTGGAAGGTGTCAGATGTTCGTACCGTCCCACATTGCTTTGTGCTGTTCTTGGCATCCTTGTCGTTAATGGTCGCCACCGCTCGTCCGCCGTGCTTCCACGACCGCCTCTAAAGTATGCCGCAGGCTACATGGCCTAGAGGCTAAACGTAACATGCGGTTCTTCGGTAGCATCAGCGGCGAAGCGGCATATTGCTCTATCTGCCGAATTCGAGAAATTTACCCCGAAGCTACGATGGTGAGCAGAGTTCACATGTCATTGGAGGAGGTGTCATTGCCTGGCGTGCTTGGAAAGTCTTATGGGGCTTATGTCGAATTAGACAAGCACTCTCGCAATCTCGCGTGCATGATGCGGAAAATTCGGTGCTTGCGGGACCGAGACTTGAAGTCTCTCGGTCTGCTGTCGGCGCCGGCAATGCCAACATGTCCTGAGGCAGATGAGGGCCGAGCACCAGAGCCCTGCCAGGCGGAGTGACCGGGTTTCCTGTTTATGGAAGACAGGTTGAAGAAATCTTCGGGAGCTGCAGTGCTCTTAGTGTTCCAGAGTGTGATGATGTTCAAAGTTGCTTCGACAGGTCATTTACGTCCCGGTGTTCATGCCACACAGATGCAGGAGACAGCATCTCTAGTGCACAACTTGCTCGTCGAGGTTATGTGGGGTCGGTGGTTTAGCGGGGATGCGTTTGGCCTTGGCCACTCCTGGGGCAGATCGCGCACTGCTGCAGATTCAATGGTCCGCCTTGGTGCATTGGAACTCCTTCGCCTCGGACAGGATCTGTGGACACGAGTGCCAACTATCCGAGATGCCGCAGGCTCGATCGACATTGTAGCTTCAGCGGGGCTGAGAGACCTGAAGGCTTCAAGGGTTTGAGAAGTCGGTTTTGGAAAGGCCAATCTGTGGGGGATTCAAGCTTTGTTCCATCAGCCTGCCCATGAGGAGTTGCCGCGTCCCAGCACGAATCCGACCTTTGGCAGCTGGTGCTCACCACCTGGTGCTCAGAGCCTGTACGGTTGTAAATGACTTGCCTGCTTTTCTCGCACCTGCCGAAGCATCACGCCGGCACATCTTGAGGATGAAGCACTAGTTGGTAGTACGTCGTAGTACAGGGTGCGGGCCTTGTGCTCGCCCTGTGCTGTGCAATGCTGCTCGGCCTGCACAGTGGAGCTCGGGTGCTTCGCGAGTGTTTGGCAAGCAAGTCACAACAGGTTGAAACACTCCAACCTAGGCTTCCCAGTATTCTTCCATCGACATCGCGCTATTGGATGCTTGGGAGAGCGGCTGCAGCAGTGCCTGAGACGAAATGAAGGGGTTGGATTGTATCGGTTTTGATGCATCAGTGGGGCCACCATATGGGGACCAATGTAGACGTAGGATGGGGGTGGTTGCCAGGACAACAGCATGATGTCTCAGCTACACTTGCGACCACTTGCCGCATCGACTCACTGGCATCGTTGTGGAACTGATTCAGAAGTCATGTCATGCAGATTTTGCCGCCATCCGCTCCGACTCGACCGATTGCAGAGCCAGTTCCACTGATCGTGTAGACCTCAGTCCGGCTTGCATCCTGATATAGTGTTGTTTTAACCGAGAACCAAACAATGCTGCGTGTTTTGCCGCCGAGAGGTGAGGCATATTGAGGATCCCTCAGCCAAAATCCTGCAGACGCCTATAGGACAGGCAGTCCGTGGGAAGCAGTTCAAGGAATTGACGTCTTCAGATTTGCAATGCTAGCTCAAGACTTTCCAGGAGATGGGCTCTTGAACCGGATATCTCCTGTGAGCGATGCCTTAGTGCCATTGTGTCGACTGCCCAGACGGTGAGTGGTGGACATAAATCTGAAAGAGCTGGTTGGTCACACAGGCAAAAATTGTGCGCTGAGAGGTTTTGCGTGCCTGCTTGCGATACGAATTGAGGCCCTCTCCAGTGCGCTCGGCCGCCACACAAGCACCGGAAGACTCAGGGCTTGGAGGACTTCAGTTGGTATCCCTGCTTGCATCTTCCGTGATTGCCCCAGCTTCAGAAAACCTGTCTTCTTTGGGCGAATCCAAAGTTTTCCAACAAAGGGTTCAGGGAGACCACAAAAGTGAGTGATGCTTGGAAGCATTTGCAAACCCATGCTTTGCCACGGGCCAGGAGAGGTGGTGGCTGGAGTACGATCCGCCCAAAGCAAACTACAAGAGTGGTTTCGGTCGAGGTCCGTTTGGTGTGGCTCTGAGCATCCTGGAGTTGCATTGCGCGGCTATGCGCGGCTTGTGTTGCAGATCATGCATTGCGCCAAGGTGGCAACAGTATTCCGAAGCAGAACTGGCCACGACAGATGGTGCCCATCGAGCTTAAAAAGCAGCTGTGCCTGATTCATGCGTGTATGCAGAGCGCGTAGGGAGTGCTGCATCTGTTTGAAAGTCTATTTGCGTGCCTCGAGGAAGTGGGAGAAGCGCGAAAGATTGCGCTATGCTTTTCGCAAGCACGGCTTCGAATTGGATGTTCCGAAGCTGGGGGGCTGAGCCCAGCCGCTACGGAAGCCGTGTCACAAGAGCAACCGACAGATGGACATTGTGCAAACTTCACAGATGAACGATGCGCAGCTCTACTTTGCACAAGTGTGCACCTGTTCGGTCAGAGTAAACACGGCCGGAAATACCCGGCTCGTGGCTGGTCTACTTGACCTTTCGCTTGGCCCGCAAAAGGGATCATGGCGTGCATTCGCACGTACTAGCCTGACCCTAAACACCTCAGGTAAGATACCACGCGAGATACCCCACTGTGGAAGCTCAAACGGTGAACATGACGGCTGTGAATCACTGCGATGAAAGACACGCAGTTTTCGCTGCGCAGGCACCCACTCCTGCCATGAGGAGGCAACTTGTGAGATGCGGTTTTACCTGCGCAGTACTTTGGATTGACATCGGGTTTTGTCCCCGCAGTGCTTTACAGCAGTTCTGCGTGTGACTTTGTACATATTCTCCATAGCTTCTGGTGCTGGTGGCTCTTTGCCACTCGCTAAGCGAAGTGGACGACCCACCGGACATCTTCGAATCTGAAAATATGTCCCCATAGTGAGAAGCGCAGGCAGCCACAGAGTCGGTTCCGCCGCCATGCAGAAACGAAAACGTCCCATTTTGGCAGGAGACGGGTTGGAGTTGGGCCATCCGTTGGTCTTGCAATGGCCAACTCTAACTGTCGGCATGGTCGGCCTCTGCAGCTTTTGGCTCGACCTTGCTCAGGCCGCTGCATTCTTTGTTCCAGCAAGGCCGAGTATCCGCGCTTGATTTCGAGCCGGCCGAAGGGCCTCTTGCGGGTGCTGGCTTCTGTGGGCCGCGGCAGTACCCTGATGAGCCCTGCTGTTGCAGGCTGATGCGGCGCAGAGTGGGGCTGGCTGCCAGCGCAGCTGTCCGTTCAGGTTTGCATTTGCTGTGCGTCAAGGGCACTCGTCTGTTTTGTAGCTGCAGGACTTCCACGGCTTCTCTGCAGACCGTATGTGCCGTTTCCAGGCCGTGTACGCTTCAAGTCCTGCAAACTTTGGCAAAAGGATGCAAAAGGGTGGCAGGTCAGCAAGTTCGGCCAAGAGACGCAAACCCTTGGACTGGAGTTGTGAGCCTGTGTGCCCCGTGTCTCTTTGGCTCTTCAGGACAGTGATGCTGTATGGCATGTAGTCGTTGCTGACATGCAGTGCCCCTGCTGAGGGGCTGATTTTATGGTCCAGAGAAGATGTCCAGCCATGACAGCAAGTCAGCAACAGCCTACACGATCGCCGACTTGAGCAGGGAGTTCGCTGGGGAATTCACAAAGGAGGAAATTCAACAGCATCTGAAGGGAGACAGAGCCGTGCAACCGCCATCTGCAAACGTGTGTCCGTCCGTGTTTGTGGCGGGACTTTGCTGGGCAACCACCGACGAGAGACTTTACGACTTTTTCGGCACTTGTGGTGTAGTGGTGTCAGCGGAAGTCTTTCTGGACCACTGCACAGGCCGTTCACGAGGCCCCCGGATCTCGTTCTTCCTGACTAGTGACTAGTGGCCTACGAGTCTAGGACAAGAAGGGCCTTCAATTCCTCGTGCATAAGTCACGGTCTTGCGTGTCTGAGGCTTTGGGAAAGTGACCTTCGCATCGCTCGCAGCAGCCAGCAAAGCCCTCTCGCTGTGCGACGCCTTTCTGGACGGCCGGCCGATTTCCGTGCGGCCCTTCGATGCGATCCCTCCACGCAGAGGCCAACGGCCGGTGCTGGCATGACATAGTGACATTGCGTGACGCTCTATATTCGGCCGGCTGCAGCTAATCCTTCGTAGGCTGGACGGGCAGACACCAAGATCAAACCGAAGCTTGACAGGCGGCAGCGATGCACCATCTTTCGAGGTGGTCTGATGGCTTTGCTTGCGCCCGCACAGTTGGCTACTAGACCAGCACATACTGCAGGGAGGGCTGGATCTCCCTGAGGTGTTGGTCGACAGCATCAGTTGGAACACCACCGAAATCAGTCTGAAGAACCACTTCGAGAATTGTGGGGCGACTTACTTGCAAGGAGCAGGTGCTGGGTTCACAGCGTGAGAGAATGCCTGGTCTGCCTGAGTTCAACTCCTGGTCGCTCGCAAGGAGATCGTATCTTGCACTGTCTTCTATGATCGCAAGACTGGACAGCACAAGGCTGGATCATTTGGAAGCAGGAAGCAGCAACCATGTTTCAGTCGTGCATCTGGAAATTGTATTGGTGGATTGGATCTGACTGAATTCGTTTGGGAGGCATTGCCAGGCGTCTGAATGCTCGTAAACCACATAGGGCATCTTGGGATGAGGGCGAACAAGAATCAACGCACATCGCCTGTGCAGCAACGGAACCGCCGTTCAGCGCAGGGGATCGGCAAGCTGGTGTTTGCTTCTGAAGCAGCAGCCCTGAGCGCCACGCAGAGGCCTTGTTCGGGTGGAGATGATCTTTTCGGTTCAAAACAAAAATGAAGTCGAATAAACTAAAGTCGAAACCCACAACACCTCTGCATGCCCGGCAGTTCGAGAAGGACGGTCATCCGTAATCAAATCCGATCGTCAGCTTTGCCAAACTGTGAGAGTCGGAACATTAGCTTACACATGTTGGCTCGCAGCGCAGCTCATCGCATGGTCCTAAAGCTGAAGCTGAACCGGAGCAGGGCATGTCATTCTCTTATAGACTCATAGATGCATGGCAAGACTGCTGGTTGGCTGTGCCGTTGCAGCCGCAAGGTTGGAGACAGCTCCCACCTTTTCTCTGCCTGTTGCCAGGGACAGTTACACTGGCACAGTGATGGCCTGAAGTGGGGCATATGGTGTCGGGTTCAACGCCTTCCCTGAGATGGACGGCGCAGACATTGTACTCATGAGTTCTGAGGATGGCACCTTTGCAGTTCAGGACCTGCACGCCACATACTTCAGCATTCCAGTGACGGACGTTTCCACCGACACAAATGTAACCAGCACAGGCCTGCAAACGGCATCTCCTGGTTCACCTCCAGCTGGCCGTTTACTACATGTGACAACACAGGCGACTATCAGTTCGTCAAGATCGAAGCAGAGTTCACACTGCTAGCTGCCGTGGGCAGCACGAATGCATGGTCCTACGCAATGCAAGCCCTTGTGGGAGGCCGTGGACGCTACGCGCCACCTGCTCTTGTGCCGCTTCGCTGTGACCGTCCAGCACTCGACTAAGTCGACGGCCGGGCGCGATCCTGAAGCGGACAAGAAGAGGTGGCACGTAGGCCGTCGCCGTGAAGGTTCATGGCGACGCCCGTCCCGAATGCGGGAAGTTTGTTTTTTGCACGACATGACGGACGCACATCCTCAAGGGAGTGTGTTCTCATGTCGCTGCACGTACATAGCCCCAAAATTTTCCGATGTCGCCAAGGAGGGGCCGAGCCAGGTGAAGCCAAATATCTGGCCACCTTTTTGGCGCATCGACGAAATTGTTTTGGAGGGGCGTCGTGAAGGTATTCGGATGAGGCTCATGGAGAACACAGGTATGCTCCCATCAGATGCGATCGAATCCAGCGTGATAACTCCCCATGTCACCGTTCCGACGACGGCATGCAAATATGTATGCCCAGCGCATGAATTGCCACATGATCGGGAGTACCACCTTGTCCGGTTCAAGGTCAAAACATTTCTGGAAAAATTGATTCTGGGACTGGGTACCAAATTTGGTTCGCACCCACCTTGCTTGCAAACACTATGGGCCGCGTGAGCATTTTGCAGGGGCACTTGGATATCCCTGCAGGCGCACAAGGCTCACAAATGTGGGGTACTGCCCCAAGAAGTGTACCGAAGAGCATCACGGTCACCATTGCCATATGCACCGGATCGGCCGCAAAATCCCACTCCAGGTGATCAGGAATGGGAAGGAGCTACCTGAAATTGCCCGGTCAGATCCCTTGAGCGATGTGGGAGCCAGCGTGCATGTCGGGGTCAGACGGAATGTGGGCCCTTCTGTCGGTCTGCAGACGATCTGCACGTATTGTCAGCCAGGACAGGCAAGTGGCTCAGGCGGAAGCTTCGACCGAATCAACTTTGACAACCCGGGCTGCAAGTCGTGTGCCTGTGCTTTGTGTGCTGGCCGAAGGCCAGGGTGCACTGCGCCAGGCCAGCTGGGGAAGCTATCAGTGTTTTCGAGGATCGAATTTTGCGCCCGGGCTGTCTCCAGGACAAAACAGCCCCTGCAGAAGCCGCACTGAAGGACAATGGATGCTCCTCTCAAATGGGGACATGTCTGCAGGGCCCCGACAATGGACAAGTGGACACCACCTCTGGCAGTGAAGGCAGGCTTGCAAATGGCACCTATGAAGGCACAGCCCCGGAAGATGGCGCCCTTCTTGCACGAAAGTTGGTGGTTCGAGCTCTGCTCATGGTCTTCATCCAGGTTCTGTAAATCTTCGACCGGGACTAGCCTTCGTTCGGGTCTTGCTTTCTCCTTGGCACGAAGAGACCAGTCTTTCATTCACTCAGAGTCTTCGTCTGCTAAGACTTGCATCCCCAACGGGTACCATCAGCATTAAGTTAAAGAGGTTAGGTTCTCATCCGTGCAAAATGATTGCAGCTGATCGGTAGCCTGGTGACTGGTGTGACTGGCATTATGGGCCTGGGCCGTTGGCATCAAGATGCCGACGAGCTTGGTTTCAAGTTGTTTGCTGCACACCTCAAGCCCCGTATTCCTGGCTCGCTCCTCAACTGACCCCACCAAGTGGGGGAACGTTTTGAAGCGGAGTTCAGCTCCGAAGTTGTCGCTGTTCATAGGATGGGTTCAGCTATGGGGCACTCAGCGCTATAAGAAAACCGCTCCACCAAGCTGCGAGAGTCGAGAAACTTCGGTTTTGCCAGGCACCTGTCGGATCTCGACGGATGGACAATATCCGTGAGGCCGCGTTGAGAATCCCAGACTGTGCCATGATCGTGGGTCATCTCATGTTGCCCAGGCCCGGCCGGACCTTACGAGCCAAAGGAGCTCTTGCTGCAGCCGCAGCCTCGAACTGCATGAGTGTGTTTAGCCAGTACATGCGACAGGGCTGGAATGGCAACGGACTGGGGTGATTTGCTGCAGGAGCGGCAGCAGCAGAACAGCGGTGGCATGCACGAGGGCCCTGCAGGCTTGCAGCTGTCGCACACAGCAATTCGGAACGACGTGCTGTCCGACACCGCTTCCCTACAGCAGCTCGAAAAGACAGTGGACGTCCCGCAAAGGGTCCCAACGACGCATTTAATCGATTGGCTGGCCGAGCTTGATCCTGCCGGCTTCTTGAAATGCTATTTGCCCATCCTGTTGACGATGGGTCATAGAACTGCCCGGGATGTTGTACACAAGTGCCTCGCCTGCGCTTTTGCAAGCCTCTCTGCATTTCATGTGGCGAGAGCCGCGAGGGCCGGAATTGCAGGTATGTCGAAAAACGTCCAGGAGAGACACCGCAACTTGCAGAGCAGCTCTTTACGGACTTGCAACTTGCATCGCACTAGCAGTGGCTGCGGTGTCTGCAGCTGACTCAGCCACCAGGGTGCCAACTGCTGTAGGGAGAGATGTTTTGCGCTTGAGGCAAGTTCAAAAGCTTGGCCATCGCCGACTTTTCGAGCGGTGGTTCGCTGGCCTCCTACGTGCCCCTATCCCCTCCTGAGCCTCTCAGTCAAGTGCACGAAGGCTACATGGGCGAATCTCGTGCTTGCAGCTCCGCATAGCTCCGCAGACCGAGAGGAAACAAGCGAGCCGAGTAGGAGACGAAGTGCTGCTATGATTCCGGCAGAGAGAGCTGTGAAAGTTGTGCAATCGTGAACAACCTGGAGAACCTCTGATGTTTCTGGCCGCGGCAGCCCACTGGACCCGAGAAGCACCGACACTGGTTTCCTCGTCTGCGTGATTCAACGCGCGGGGAACGAAAGGGTGTAATGACAGTAAGTGATCTGCCCTCAGTGGAATTGCGACTCCGGTCAACGCTGAGCTGAGACTGGACATGAGAACAGGTGAAGTAGAAAACAGGAGGGGTTGGAAGACTGAGACTGAAACCGCAGTGGAAGCGGAGAGAAGAGGTGCAGTGGCCAAGTCCCGACGGCTACCAGGCCCTACCATGTCAGCAAGTTTTGAAGCGCGAGGCTACCGTTCTGCAGCCACTGCTGCCAAACCAACTACCAGCGCACTAGGCCGGCGAGCTGCTGTGACGAGAAGGTTTGTTTGAAGGGTCGCTGTCTTTCGTAGCCTCTGCAATGCCTCCGACACGACACGTGGCCTACATGGCATCACACGTTGCTAGGCGCGGCTGCGAGGGCCCTGCGTGATGCGGTGAAGAGCCACGAGGTGCTTTTCGCGTGTTTTAACCCTTCAAGTGGGATCGTCACGGACACCCGTTGCGAGTTAGGAGAACGCATCATGCACCGTGGCGGAGCAAATTTTCAAGAAATCCTACGCCAAGTTTGCGCTGCCTTCTGTAAACTTGATTAACACGGCAGGAGGCAGGATATGTGGTGAAAACCCAGCAGTCCCATCACTCTGGGGAAGAAACTACCATGAGCTTGAAGTGTCACGAGTTCAAGCGGGGCTGCGACTCAAGAACTCTGAAGCCCTTCATGCCAAGCACACTTGCGGAGCTTTTGACATTTCTGCTGACAGGTTTGCTGGGAGGCTACGTTGAAGTGTGTATGTTTGTATGTTTGCAAGTAAGTAGTTTGCAAGTGAGTAAGTAAGTAAGTAAGTAAGTAAGTAAGTAAGTAAGTATGTATGTATGTATGTATGTATGTAGGTTGTAGGTACGTGCTAAAAAATGTATGTAGGTGCCTGCGCGCCTGCCTGCCTGCCTGCCTGCCTGCCTGCCTGCCTGCCTGACTGCCTGCCTGCCTGCCTGCGTGCCTGCCTGCCTGCATGCCTGCGTGCATGCGTGCGTCTTCCAGTGCCCCGAGAACCACAAAGCCATGACGCCCTGAACCCTTCAACACAAGTTGATTTGATGTTTTCCCGCATACCCTGCATCGTAGCGGCTTGAAGGCGACCTCCGAAGTGGTTGCCGAGGCAGACGCGCCCTCGCCTCAGATGAGTCTCGAAGCTTCCAGGCATATGGAAGATGTGGCACAAAGCCTTTTGCTAACCCCCGGTCCACCGTTGGAGATTCTGTGAGATGAGAGGGAAGCCTTTATGAACGGACCTATAGAGGATTATAGAGGCATGTAACAGCTGCCGTAGTCCGAGCCGAACCGAGACGGAACAGCTTTGCGCCATGTCTTTTGAAGGCCGGTCGATCGGCCAGCGACCTTAGAAAGACTTAGCATTGATCTCAGAGCGCTTGCTGACTGGAGGGTTTGGATCGGTCGCGGATGAGACTCTACTCCTTCAGCCGTTGCAGAATTGCAGGGTTCCGTCAAGAGCTGGTCGTGGGTCCTGCCAGGTAGCGAGATCTTTAGAGAAGGCCTCGCATTACAAAGCTGAATCCAGCCTGAGTGCGACAAGCTAGATTCATCGCGCCCATTCAGGTCACGAACTGCGTGCTGCAGAAGAGGAGATGGAGGTGACTGAGTTCACCCATCATTGCCGTTTTGTCATGGGAGCGCGGTTGGGGGTGCTCGTATGAGGGAGCATCGTCACGACAGGTCATGCTCCTGGGCGAAGCATTGCCTGCAGAGAGAAGGAGGGTGGCTGGGAGCTCAAAGTTTGTGAACCGGATGAAATCACGATAGTGTGGGAGGATACTTGCTTTTGCCGTTTCTTGCCTTCTCCCAGACTTTCCGGACGCCGACTGGTCCCGGTGGCGCCGCGGCAGAACGTCAGGTTTCTGTGGCGCTGCCCACCGCCCCTTGCATTGGTTTGGAGTCGGCCGTTAAATGCGAGCAACTGCTAGTAACAATGGTTCTCCCTTCTTTCAGTGAGCCTAAGTTTTGAGCTCGAGGGCGCATGCACAGGCAGGAAGGAGTTGCAGACCAACATGGCTAGCGAAACGTAGATCAATACGTGCGGAAGGGCGAGAAGAGCACTCGAGACATCGAAGAGCATGAACCGTCTCATGACCTCGGCCAATGGGCCTCGCGTTGAAACTGACTTGATGCCTGATCTCTGCGAACCACTCCCTCGGCCTCCGAATCGCATTTTCGAAGCTTAGAGTAAGGGTTAAGAACCCGGAAGGGATGGCCAGTACTCAGGTAACCCAAACAGCCCGGCAGACTAGCTGACCCAATGTGCAAGACCTCTAGGACTCTAGGGGAGCAGTGGCTGCTTTCATTTTGCCAAGGCCCCGTAAGGCCCTAAAATCCTGGGGACCGAGATGCTGGAATCTCAGGTCGATGATGTTAGCAGGCGACCGAGTGAAGATGGGCTTTTTCATGGGGATCCCATGGTAGATTATAGACCGTTATAGTTATAGTATATCTAGTTTATGATAGTCATTACAGTACATATTACAGTATCTTACAGTACATAACGGCATATATGGTACATTACATTAGATCATGACAAGCAGGGGCCTGTTCCAGTTGCAGCTCGAGCCAGAATTGGGTAGTTCGATTTCTGTCCAGATTGGAACTTATTCTTGGCAGTGGTCCAGGAATCCTCGGGCTAGAATTTTCTTCCCTGCCGGGGTCATTCTGCATGGCTCTTCAGCACCTGAAATAGCATCGACGAGTCGCGAAATAGGGATCATTCGAAGAACTTTCGGGAGCGAAGCCCAAGATCAAGAAGTCAAGCGCAGGATCGGACCAGAGAAGTTCGGGGGTTGAGTGAGTGCCAGCCACGATGCGGACACTCCACAGTACTGTCCCTCGATCCTCGCACATGATCCGATGCATCGCGCGCAAAACTAGAGCAGCTGGTTTAACTTCAGACGGGAGGGGAGGCACCCCAAAAGCTCACCGCCGTCTTGGTGCTTGGGGTTTCTTTTCAGGGGAAACGGCAAGAGAGTCTTGTCGGACTATCATAGTCCAGTCTGGCAGGCTAATCGCCACCAGACGAGAACAGAATTTGGCCCGAAGCTCAAGACGCCAGTGCGGTCGAGTCTCGCAGACCAGGTTTTGATGGGCTTGTGGCCCTGAGCATTTGTTGCCGATCAAGTGTTGCAGCTTCTGTCCCTGGCTTCTCCACTGGAATTTCAGGCTCAGAGAGACCCACTGGCCTTGAATCCATGTTTCGTTCCTGTGAGGCCCCTGCAGGCCCTAGGCCAGAGCCATGATAGCGACTCTTGGATGGCTGCTGCTGGCTCAGCGAGTCGAAGGGAATTACAATGCGGCCGCGGCCTCCGAGGAGTCCATCGCAATGAATTTCGTGCAAAGAAAAGTACTTCCACGATTTGCTGAGCTACCGATGCTTTCAGCGAAGTCTAAACCCTGGCACCTCCACAACTACGTGGGCTTCTGCCACCATAAAGCTGGTGTCTATCTCTTGAGTGAGCTGTGGGTTTTGAGCTTTATGGCCCTTGGAGCAAAGAAAAGCGACATGGGAATGTGGATGCAACCCTGTTACAGCCCTCAGGCTTGCTACTCACCAGAGGCACCAATCCAATTCTGGGTAGACATGTACTCCGCGGAAAAAGCTCAAAGAGCACGGGAAGCTGCAGGAAAGAAGGGCCTCCGTGTGGTGGGAATTGTGCGAGATCCCATTTCCATGATTGCCTCTGCATATTGCTATCACCATCGCGGAAAGGAGATGAACAATTGGTTCTTTTTTCCAGCGAGACTGCTGTTGCTTTTGGGTCCCAAAGAAGGACTCAAGTTCGTCGCGGAGCACATGCTACCAATGATGGAAAACCTGACGAGCGTCTTCGAGCACCAATCCAACGACACCTTCCGCCTCGACTACGAGAAAGTCGTTGCCTCTTCCGAGAGTTTCGACCAACAGATGGACCAGATGATTGACTTTATGTTTGGGGACCAGATAGACGCGGAAGAACGCAGCAAGGTCTTCAATGCGACGCAGTGGGCGGACCTGCATCGCCACCCACGTGCAGATGACCACGGCAATGACGACGCCTGTGAGGAAGAAGTACGGCAATATGTGCCCACACTCCCACCAGACCTGCTATCACAGTACCGCTCGTACCAGCAGCGGCTAGGGTACGCAACTGCCTAGGATGGGATGCACTGGTGAAGTTGGAGTGAGTATGCGAGAGCCTGCCGAGGATGCTTTCCCCAAGTGCTCTGCTGTTGAGGCACTTGTGTAGATTGAATGTGTTGTTTGCGACGCCTTCTCGGGTTTCAAAAAGAGGATGTTGCGGTGGCTGACGAGCAGGAACTCATGCCTTTTGCAGTGAGTTTGCTTGCCTGGCTGTCCCGATTGATTGTTTGAACCCGCTGGGACAACGGAATGGAAGCATCGCTCTTGCCTTTCATGATGTGCTTCGCACGGTCGCTTTCCCACAGTGCAGCATCGAGGCTCGAAACCCCTCCGAGCTGAGATTTCCTGCCGAAGGGCAGGAAGCGAGCATCCATGAGATCCATATCAGTTACGCTGCCATGGCTGCTAGCTTTGCCTGTGTTGGCAAGACAGGCTGAGGAAGCCTGTGCAACCCACCTCGTGCAGAGGAAGGCACAGGCACGCTTCGCTGAGTCGAGTTCCACCAACAAAAAGAAGTTGGGGAACGGGAAGCCGTGGGATGTGTTCGACTTCGTTGGTGCTGTGCACCACAAATCTGGCGTCTACCTTTTGCACAAGATTTGGTTCTACTTGTTCCAGGGCGTCCTGGGTGCTCATGATGACGAGATGGGTATCATCATAACGCCTTGCTACAATATGTGCCGGAATGTAGATGCGCCAATCCGGTGGATGGTTGACATGATGTCGCCCGAGCTCGTGGAGCGTGAGCGGGCCAGTGCAAAAGGGAAGGGAAAAGGCTTGCGAGTCACAGGACTCCTTCGAAACCCTGTAACCATGGCGGTTTCTGCTTACTGCTATCATGCCAGTGGCGAGGAGGAATTGAACGTGGCCTTCTTTCCTCCGGGATGGCCCTTGGTGACCGTGCAAACCATGCCTCCGGAAGAAGGGATCCCTTTTGTCGCAGAGCGAATGCTCCAGTATGTGACAAACATGACCGATTTGTACGAGCAGGACGACAATGCGTTTTTGCACTACGAGAAAGCAACTTCTTCTTCTGAGATGTTTGACAAGGAGGTGAAGGAGTGGTTGGATGGCCTACTCGGCGACCTCATCTCGAACGATGAGATGGAGCAGGCGCTTGAGGCGGCGAGGTGGGCAGACCTGCACCGCCACCCAGAAAATGATGAAGGCCACAGCGCCAACCACACGTGCATGGCAGAGACCCAAGAAGCATTCACTTCGGTCGTCCGTGAAGACGTTCTGGCAGGGTATCGTTCTTTGCAAAAGCGGCTTGGGTACGAAGTTTTGTAGCTGAAACGTCAAAATGCTGGATCGAAAAAGCAAGCAGCTTGAAGCACCTGCGGGAAGTCAGATGCCTCAAGACTCACGATGTTGCGTGTTTCGGGTGGGTATTGAATACATCGGGTCAGTGAGATCCGTGACCTTGCTTGCAGTCCACCTTGTTTAGCGGCTGAAGCCGTGAAGGTTCTCTTCAAGAGTGTAGGCAGCATGCTCGCGGGAAGGGTGTCCTGTTGCTTTCAGGCCGTTCCGAAAGCAGACGAGCTGGCAAAGGTACTGGAAGTGTGACCTTGGCCGAGTCGTTGATGTGCAGGTTGATCTGTCCCTCACGCGCAATGCATGCCCAGACGACAGCAGTCAGGCAGCCGTAGGCTCAAACTCACCTTGCTGCGCTCACGAAGCGTCACCAGGTATCGTCCCGCACTCAGGTCGCAGCTTGTCGGCCACGCTTCGAAAATATCCTGTTGCAAGCAGCTGCAAGCAGGTACCGACCGTGGCTGAAGACAGGTTGCCTCCTTGCTCACGAACAGCACGGATTCCGCGCCGCGCCTCCAGCGTGCGTGCCAGACATCGTCCCTTTCTGCTCTTGTGGCAGGTCGAAAAGACCATGACCGACGTCGTTGGCTGGGCTACAAAGAAAACCTCTGACGGACAGTCGCAGTCTCTCTGGTGTTATTTTCTGCGAAAAAAGATCGGACTGGCACCTGCTTACCTGGCAAAAGACAGGACTCATCTCTGGAGAGATCAACCAGCCACTGGGCGAGGCAGCAAGGAGTTTCAGTTCCCTTTGGGCTTGGAAAGCACTTTCTGCAGTAATCACACTCATCCAAGGAACTGGCTGTTCTGCATCCCTATTCAGGTTGGCCCGGCCACCGAGTATGCCAGGCAGAGCACTCCCACGGGCAGAGTAATGTGACAGAGAGAGATGCAGGAAACCTACATTTGGGTCGTCTTTGTGGAGTCTGCTCAAGGTGTCGAGTTATCGGACCCCACGATCCTTATGCTCACACCACGAGTGCCTAAACGGATGTTGCGTGCCACCGTTTTTGCAGAACTGCAAACGGAGGGCACGAAACGCTTGACGGACCTGGGTCGACTTTCGAGTACCGTAGTACCGTGCTTCTTGATGCGGAAGAGAAGCATTAATGCAATTCCACCTTTTGTCCAAATCTTTGAATCAGAACATGTAACAGCTCAGTTCACATCTATGGGGAATCTCCAGACTGGATCGCGCACGTGCTGCGTGTAACGGCATCGCAAGGCTGTGAGCAAGGCTGTCACCCGATGTTGAAGCAAGTAGCTTTGCGGCCGGGCCTATGCCCTTGGACATGACATGCATTACTTGTATCAGATCAATATTATGTTGAAGACCTGCTCTTTAACTCAGCTTCTCCTGGGAAGCGATTTGTGAAGACACTCGGAAGATCTAGCGCCCTGGTGTTGCAGGCTTGCACACAAGAAATCCAGCAGTGTCGCAAGAAGAGGGCTTCCATGCCCCTTGGAATCATGACTCCTTCTAGACCTGCGACAACAAGAAGAAACCCTTTGCAATGAGGCTGAGGCGCATTGAAGAATCACGAGAGAACCGTTGGGAGGGCTCGGAAGCATCACCAACAACCATCTTGCAGTGATGTATCAAGCCTGTCGTGGTTCGCAGTGTTTTTGCGGGTCTTGTCGGTCTCCCGCCGCGAAGCCCTCGCTTCAAGTAGGAGGGAGAGAATTGGTGTTCACCTAGGTGTGGTTCACATGTGGCTGCCTGGAACAAAACACAACCCTGAAGATGGGCATAGAAAATGCAGATGAAGAGTCGGTGAAAGTCGACCGCTGGAAGAATGGTGCACCAGTCCTTTGTTGCGGAAGTCGGAGTTGTTGTAAGTCGAGGTTTCATTTTACAGATGGGTGGTTGTTTTCAGTGATGGCTACGGATCAAGTGCTCCGGCTCAAACCTGAATCAAACTGTTGTGGTCATCTGCTGTATACGTGATGAAAGCGACCATTCTGGATTCTGGATGGAATCCTCCCGCGGTATTGAAAATGCTGATGTACTTCCATGTCCTGCCTGCTGCTTGAGTTTGGTGCCCCGGAATTCGGGTGTGACTGTGGAGGTTTCGAGGCGCTTCTTACAATGAAGTATCGTACTGCTACCGGCTTTTGTAGTTGCCCTTCCGAAACCTCGTCTGACCCGTCCGAGCGCGAGTACTAAAGCTGGCTTAACTTCGGAAAAATCTCCCCCTACCCGCATGTATCTGACAGGGGTGCTCGGCATTGGTTCGCCTTCATCATCCTTACGCAAGTGGGCCAAGCCGTGGCGCCACTGGACTTTTGGAAGAAGTCTTGACATTCAGTTCGCACGAGTTTCAGAGCCTGAGTGAAGGCCACGTCTTCGGGAAAGCAGCCTGGGAACGAATCTGTGAAGTCAGTAGGCGTCGCTGCAGGCAACTCATTCTCAGCGGTGCTTTGCTGACGTCCGTGATGCAAGAGCCTCAGATTTGTACAATCTTCAGGGGTGGCATCTCCCAGCGCTGTGATGACATGCACCCTCAATGCAGGATGGCTGTGACCGCACTCATTGGGCTTTATGCTTGGTATCAAGATATGAGCCTCTGCATGCATCTGGGAGACACGACCAGCTGCAATGCTTGAGCATCTGGGATTTGGACTTGTCGACCAGCTTAGGAATATCACATATATCTGCCTCTGGGGAGCTGCCAGCCTTTTCCAAGGGCTCATGACCTGTATCTCCAGCTTGCTTCCAGCACCCTCGCCTGAGAGTGAATTGCCTTCGACGGGAAAGCTGGTCCTGCGCTCGTGTAGCTGATATGCGAAATGGCCTAGTACCAGCTAACATGATCTCCCAGGAAAAACTACATTGACAGTGCATATTTGTTGGAATGAAGATAAGTGTACTCCTTGAGTTATGCTGAGTAGAGGGACAGACAGAACGCACAAGCTGAGGCAATCACCGGAGTGCTGTCGCTACTTGGCCGGCAGCAGATTACGAAGCACATGGAACATAATTGAGTTTTTTGAGGCAGGTCTTTCCGAATTGTCCTGTCCCAGGGATCCATGTGCCGGTCTGCTTGTGGTTTGTTTGTCCAGTCTGCGAGCCTGTGTTTGCTGCCGTTTTCTTTGCGAAGGTTTGACGTTTGGAGCCTGGTGCTGCTCATAAGCGTCGCGCTCTCAAAATGCCAATGTCATCTTTAAGTTGCAGAGGTATCCCTTGTACGTGAAAACAAAGGTTCCTGTGGTGTATTTCCTGGCAGCAGCATTTGTGTCCTGGATCAGCATCCAGCACGGCTTCATTCAGGGTTTCAGGGCCTCCAGAGCCTTGGCCCCTTCAGATGTCGATGCAGCACTGCATGGTTCCGCAGGCCTGGCATCTTTACAACGACTACGCGGAGGATCACGGGAAGAAAGCTTATGCCTTCGATCCTTTCGTGACTCGACCGAAACATCCAGCAGCATGGTTCGCATAATAGAGGACCGGTGATGTGAGTCGAGTTTCTGACCTTGCGCAAGGCTCAGACAATCGTATGCCGTGGGTATTTCCGGGTCATAAGACTGGTTGAGAAAGGGTGGTGGACGGCATGCGAGTCGGATGAGCCTATAATCACTTGATAGCATGTGAAGTAGAGCGGTTATTGCTGGGATGCCCAGTAGGCCGACATGTACAAAGATCAAGTCCAATGTGCGTAGCTCACCAAGCCAAAATCGAGATCACAGCGTACGGGCGCTGGCGCGGGCAGCTGGCCCTTCGGGAAGTAGCTCTTCTTTGGTCCATGTCTGGCAACACAGCGCCCACGGAAAACACCGGAAGTCATGGCATGACTTTTCGGATAGTTGCTGCGTCAGCTCCATCATAGGCCTTGTCCTTGTTGCAGCACTCTATCCACAACTGCAGAATGATGCTTGTTGTTAAGGCTCCTTTGGGTGCTTTGGAGTGCATGACTTCGTGACCGACTGAGGGAAAGTATGCAGCCAAGTACGACCCGCTGGCGAAAGTGCCCATATCGGACAGTGTTTTGGTGCCTCAGCTGCGTTTGAAGCAGCCCTGAAGCAGAGCAACAGCAGGACGTAAGTGAAGGAGGCCGCTTGTGAAGAGAGAGTGGAGCGGCGCGTCTCCTTTTCAGCTGCTCATGCCATGCGATGAAGCCCGCAGCCCTGGACAGCGCCAGCTGCAATTCCCAGCCTACAGCCGCCTACAGCCTTATGAAGCCACTAGGTCACTAGGCCTTACAGCCGAAGGACAAAGCTGCGGACCGCCTCTTCACATCAGAGGGAGGCCACTATGGAAAACCCGATCGCACCTTTGCCTAGTGAAAGTACATCGGTCGTATTCGGTCGGTCAAAGAACCCCCAGCCTGGTGGGACAGAGTTTAGAAATTCATGGGCTGATGACCTTTCCTTCTGGGTTATGCTGTGCTTGCGCCTCTACCTGTTCGAAGAGGCTTGATGTGTAAGTCAACGCCGAGTGGTGATGGAAGTGCACTCATAGATCGCGTGTTGCCTGCAAATCCGACACTGTCTCATGCAGGCCCCATCTTTCAAGGTGGCGATTATGGCTCAACAGTGGCGGACAGGGTCCCGACTCACTAAAATCACCCGTTTGCTTGGCACAAACTGCAGAAGTCACCAGCTGACTGAAAAGCCTTTAGTGTTTTGTGGTTTGTGACCACTCGACCAGCTGGTGCTGCGTGTAGGACTTTATGAGTCCATCATCTGGCCGCCGCGATCGTGAGGGCATGTGCTGTTGAGCTGCTACCACTGACAGCAGGCAGTACTGTTTGCAGGGTTCCATGCAGCGGTCATTTCCTTATGAGCTGCAGAATTCGAGAGCCTGGTTCGGCCTGACCATCCCACCTGGGATCTCGGATGCTTCGGTGGGCATTGAGCGAGACTGCAATCGACACAGGCGTTCTACTGGTCGCGTGCTGGCATGAGAAAAGCTTTTTCTGCGCAGCTTCGGGCAGCAATTGCAAGGCACAAGATCAAGCTGTGACCGGTGACAGTGCTGTCACTGCACATGTTGTTCTTCGAGATTCCAGGTATCTCAAGGACAAGTTCGTCGGCAAAGCCAGCGACCACGTGGCGCTACTGACAGCATGGGGACCCAAGGTGCCATACTGATGTGTCTGCCATCGCATGGCCAGCTGCTCTTTGTCCTCGGAGGCGATAGGTGACAGCGAGGGCGAATTCGGAGAAGTGGCCGCCTTGATGCGACTATCTCTCAAGGCCAGATTGCGAGAGTGCCGCAGTGCCACATTCGAGGGGAGAACTGAACGCTCTTTGCAGACCTGCAGGCCTATCAGGCCACGCTGCAGGCCCCTCCCGGTGACTGCCCTGCGTGTCGCTCTTTCAGCTGCCTCTGACTCTGGGCTTTCATGGGGCTTTGATCGTTACCACTTGAAAAGCCCAGCTGCCAGGCGACCAAGACAGACTTTCAGTTCGAGGTAAGCCGAGAGGGGGAAGGCCATCGCAGACATGTTCGATGTGTTGCCCAGAGTTCTATACTACTCCCATGTTGCACAAACTTTCCACTATTTCCTGCATCCTCTTCATGGAGGTCGTGACTGCTTGGTCATGCCGCCTTCTAACTTCGCACTCCTGGGCCTCAAGGACCGGCTGGAAGGTGGCGCCGTTTGTTTTCACCAGCATATTTCGTCGTTTGCACTGCAGGACACCTTTCACATGCTCCTCAAGGCTGGACTGGTACTCTGAAAGAACTGGCACCTCCCCACTTCCATCATCCGATGAGCCACCCAAACAAAGAAGGCTTGATGAAGCACAGGAACAAAAGAAGGAGGGAGGGGAGGGAGGGTTTAGGAAAGTTGAATGGCTGTTCACGGATAAGGAAGGAAGTGTCCCCCTGGGCCTGTCCTTTGCTGCAGGGTTACCGAGTGCTCCTCATCGTGCAGCCACGGTTTTTCCCTCACTTTCGGGAAGTACAGCCCGGGCCGCAGCTTCCAAATCCTTCTGCCGCTCTTCGCGTTGTGCACACCAGGCTAGACTTGGCCAGTTGCGGTTTGCCAGATGGTCTTGTGGAGGCAAGCTCCCGGCGGTTGGGTTGTCCTGACAAGCTCAGCGTGTGTCTCGTTGAGAAGGTTCTGCCTGGCATCACTCCTGATGCTGATCCAGAGGCCGATCCAGAAGCATGCATTCACGCGACGGGTCAGTGCCAAGACTCAAACTGCAGATACCCACAGTCAAAGCATCACAGCTGTGAAATATGTGATTAGAAGATTCGGAACATGCAATGGCACGTTCTTGCCTGCCGTGCATCGGCACCTGTTACTGTAGCACCCGGACAGATCCCTTCGAATGCATGCCTTTGGGTTTCGCCATGAGGTCCTGCACGAGGCCCTTAGGCACGTGGACCGGTTGCAGTTCACAGGCCTGCTGCCCTGACCACTCGCAAACATGGACATGTTCTTGCTAACCAGGTTCCTCGGACATGTTCAAGAGCCTTGTTTTGAAGGCATCGGATGCTTGTCCGCATGCTTCTTGATGCAGTTGGGCACCAAGCCCCCTCGTCGATCGCCAGGCTCTTGAGTTGGGGAACCTGCGCATGGAGCATGCCGGCGAGGAAGGGCTGGGGGGAGGGGCGGGGACAAGCCCACATGTGGCCCGCTCGCACCTTAGGCCCAAGGTGAAGCTCTCGCGATTCGTGGCAGGTCAGCGGCTTGAACAAGGTTCGCTTGGACAACGTTTCAGCGTGATGGGCTCAGGCACTGCACGAGGCCAGAAGTAATTTTAGCCTGCTCAGCCCAGGTCGCATCCGGCTGTGGCACGTGGTACGTGCTGGGCCGCCATGGCGCGGTACTTTTCTCTCCCGCTTCCCACATGCCTGATAATCAAGTCTCGCGTCCTCAGGCAAACAACGGCGAGCTGTGCACATCTGCCGCGTTGTCAGCTTTTGGACTTTAAGTGGAGAGGGCATAGAGGAGAGTGAAGCTTGAGCAGAGTCATCTGGCATTTATCCAAGCAAGGCGTCGTTGGTGGAGCCCTGCCCTGAGTTGTCTTCAGGCTCTCTAGCCTTGCGGGCTGGACCAAATCTACTGACGACGCCAGCATTGCAAGAGCAGGTTTGATGCATCCATGGGAGACAACGCTGAGATGGTCAAGGCTGCTTTAGACGAGGACGGCCGCGGCATGCTGCGCTGCGATGTCGCACCTGCTAGTGACAGTGAGCCCTGAAGATCCAATACATTGGCATCACGCACAGGCGCAGAAGGCCTTCAACGTCGGAAGAGACCCTGCTGACACCGGGTGGGGTCAAGATGCTGGCTGTGAGGCTGATTGCAGCTGTAGCGCGTCCTGAACTCTGTGGAATGCAGGCTCGACATACTCTTGAGAGATGGGAAGACGGATCAGCTGGAAGTGAAGACACGGGAGACCCGCAAAGCCTTTCATGCTTGGTGACTTGTTTGTTTGCACATCGTTCGAGATGTCATAGGGTGCTTGAGGAGCCAGCCGATGGATTCCGGGAGTGGTGGGAGAAAGCCATCCTGGCCGCCCCGAGGCAAACGATCTCAACGACACCCACGTGCTTTTGCGCCAGTTCCGATGCAATTTTGTTTTGCCTGGTTGAGGGATGGGCCGCTTCAGCTACGAACGAATCAGTCCCTAGGCCCGTCCGCAGGGCTTACGCCCTCTACTTGTGTATTGCCAATTTATCGCAGCACTCTGTGACCGTGCATGGGTTAGGACACTGCGTCTACGCACCAAGCATTGGCCGTGCCGTCGAGCTCGGGACCAAAGAGGCCGGCAAGGTATGCAGTTCAGAAGAAGTAATCTTTCGAACGCGCAGTCACACTCTGCATGTCGCAGGTATCAACTTGGTGAATTGATCGCCCGTCTCCCCTTAGTTCCTTCTTTGTGTCAGGATGCTTCGAACATCTATTGCGTCGGAGTGCCTGAGGCCTGTCTGTATGTTGCTGCGCGACAGATGGAAGACTGAAGCATCTTTGCGCGCGCGCGCGCGTGTTTTTTGTGCCCGTACCACTGGTTTTGCTTGGAGGACGCATCGGCCCCATCTGCACGTGCGGGCACTACGGGCGCCAAGCTGCCAGAGAGTGCCTTCGGCGGAATGAAGTACGGGCCCCGGAAAGCTTCGAACCTCAGGTTACCTGTCTTTCAAACTCTCCAGAGCGACTTCATGATGTTTTCTGTATTGGGCGCCACAAAGTTGCAAAGAGCGTCCAGGAGTTACACTTATGCCGTCGCTGGTGACCATGATGGCGTCGGCACTGCCAGTGGCTCAGGAGGTGTTGGTGTCTTCCGGGTGGGAGAGAATTTAACATGAACTTGCTCTCTTTAGCATGTCCAGGTCCAGACCCTCTTTGACATCACCAAGCGACGAGGACCAAACTACCGCGATCAGGAGCTCAAGATTCGCCATCAAGTCAACTGCGTATGGAACTTGCATGAAGGGACCGCGTAAACTCTTCCGGTACAGGATGGATTGGGATTCGAAACTAGAGGCTGCTGGCCCTTTGCCGGAGCATGCTGAAAGCCAACGGCACCCTTGGCATCGGCACTAAATGGGATTGTTGATCTTAGCTGTGATGATGTGGTGGGAGCGGTGCACGAGTCGAGTCGAATGCAACACTTGGCAGGAGGAGGCATATGCTCAGTACGAACTGACGGAAGTGGTCCAGCACCAAGTGAAAAGATCTTCATCAGGAGCTTGTGAGGTTTCCAGTTTACATGGGCTCGCGATAGGGCTCGCTGAAGAACACGAGATGGGCAGGAAATGGAAGGATTCCGATCTTACCCAATAGTTTTCTGAGCCAATGTGGTTGATCCAGGCTGAGATGCTTCTCGAATTCCTGTCGCCAAAAGATCAGATGAGCTTCACGAAGCAAATCTCCAACGTGTTGGAGGCGAGGCTGAGACAATGCACCGCCAGAGTTCCAAAACTGAAGCATTCAACATCTTCCGCTTTGTGTATTCTGTAGCCGACAGACATGCTGCCTCCACACATTTGCTAGATCTTCTCGGCTTTCCAGCCAGAGCTCACGGCGGCTTACGGAGGGCAAGGACTGGTGACGCGGCTGGAAACACTTCGTAGTGGTGCATGTTGCAATGACTCGCGACTTTGTGGGGCCGACCTTCGATGCTGCTTCAGTGTCAATAAAGTATTCAGTACTATGGCCGCGGGGATCAGGACAGTGTTCGAGTCCAGGTTCCGAGACTAGCCAGACGGCAATGGGTCACTGAGTGGGATTGCAGCTTACCTGCCCTGGTGCACGGTTCATGGCAATGCAGCAGTTCGTGTAACTTGTCCATCACTTTTTCCACTTCTCAGCTGTAGTACAATGTGTGTAGAATATACTAGAATGGAACAGAATATAGTGCAGTATAGCATAGCGTAGCATAGCATAGCATAACATAGCATGGTGCAGTGTGGTATGGTATACAGTAGCACAGTAAGTACAGTATAACAGAGCATGGTATAGTACAGTACAGTATAATATAACCTAATATAATATAGTAGAGTATAGTATAGTGTATTACACTATTTTAAGCTGTAATAATGACAATATATACCAGAATAGAGTAAAATGTATAGTAAAGTATAATGTAAAAATAGCATAACACAACATCATACAACAGAATGTAACAACATGTTTTTATTATAATTCTGTGAGATCTATCTTACAGTGTAATATGATATAGTATAGTACAGTATAGTATAATACAAATTAGAGTATCGCATGACAAGGCATGGTATAGTATAATGTAATCTGATATAATAAAGTATAGCACAATATATGACAGCAGAGTGTACCGTACCATACTATACTGCACCGTAGTGTAATGTATTGTTGTAAGTGTGATGTAATGTCATGTAATGTCACATCTTATAATGTAATGTAATGTAATATAATATAATATAATATAATATAATATAATGTAGGGTCATGTAATGTAATGTAACATATATATATATATATGTATATACATATACAAAAGCTACGACGCCTGTGAAACTTGCAGGTGAATGCAGACGGCCGGAGCCGGCGACCCAGCGCATCCACGAGCAAGTTTACTATCACCTGGAAGTGTTTTTGCTACGCTTTGTTTGGCTGGATCCTCCCCAGGGCTTTGCAATTTCCCCTGTTGCAGGCCAGTTGGTGACGCTGCAAGTGCTAAAGCCGGACGAGACCTCGGGATATCGGCATGGAGAATACTTGTTTCCTTTCTGAGTTTTCGAGTTTGCAAGCGCCAGCGGGTAGCGGCAGTCCGAAAGCAAAGGTTTGCAAGGAAGTGTGTCGGGAGTTGAACCCTGCGTTCCTCGTTGCTAGTTGCAAGAAACAGAGTGCCGCTGGACTAGAAGGACATGCGGAAACTCCTGTTTCAATGTGGCTTGTTCCTGGCTCAAGCTGCGACAAGCAATGATGCAATGATATTTACAGTAACGGTGACCGTGAGGTGCTTTTTGCTAGTCTGAATCTTGTTTCGTGCAATCCCTGCCGTGAGATCGCTCGGGCCGGTAAGGTGGCATCATGGCCAATACGAAGGCTCTGATGTCGGTCGGTCGTGTGGTGAGCCCAGGAGAAGGAGATGCTCGCTGCCGTCGGGAACCTCGTGGCTCAAAGGACGGCGTCGAAGAAACCTGTCGCTTCAAGCAGGAACGCCTGTGTGCTGACACTCAACGAGGACCCTGCCGAGACCAGGCCAATGCTGACAGAGCCCGAGAAAGAGAGTGCCTGGCTTCTACGAGTGTGAGCTCTCCCTGGGCTTGCAAAATCCACCGTACTGCTGGTCTGTTACGTGCTGCACAACAGATTCCTCTTGGTCCTGATGTCGTGGTGCATGATGAACAACGGAAGCGCGGGCATCGTCTGGGAGGCTATGGGTCTCTGGCTGGTCGCCGTCCTTGCGGTCGACGTTCAGGGCTACTTTGGCCGCGCCATTCAGGCTGCGTGGATTGGCAGGAAGGTGCCAAGCCCCGCGATGACAATGATCATGCCTATTCAGACATGATCATTGTCATCGCGGGGCTAGTCTATTGTTCCCAGTCTAGGACCATGGGTCCCAGAATGGGAATTTGCGGCTTCCATATTGCAGTTGGCCGCCTGTGCAGAATACGAGGGAACTTGACAAAGGGGCTTTTGGATCGGAGTCTGCAGCCTGGTGACAGTGTTCACGCCAAGGCCGTTCCTGTTCTGCGACGGTGCGAGCAGGATGGAGGTTGACAAGGAACTCCTTTGCAACCTCCATCCTGCTCGCACCGTCGCAGAACAGGAACGGGCGCTGGGTGTCCGCCTGCAGGCAACTCACAGCCACAATGTTGCGGGTAAAGTAATTGAGCAGCTTCTGCCCGACGGGATTCGTCATGACTGGTGGATGATGGTGGTCAGTGTTCTGAGGCGGGGGCTGAGTTCATCAAGGTCTTGTCGCAGCAGAGCACTGCAGCACGGCTCTGGATTGCGATTGGCGAGGATGTGGTGCCACTGGCGGTCTTGGCCGTCATGGCGATGCTAAACTTTCAGAAGTTGAGTGGCCTTCTGCTCCTAAACCTCGTCTTCTGCTGCATGAAGATCGCAGGCATCT